TTTAATAAAACATGGTTAAAACTTCCATGTCGAAAGTGGATTCGCGAATTTTTTAGCACAGATAAACTATAAATGCAATTGAAAATTGCGATTTATTATTATAAACAACCAAGCATGGATTGTGGCGTATTTTTTTTTTAATATTATGGTATCTTGATATGTACCTTTTAAACATATAACAACGCATCGAAAGTTCATTCAAAATACTTTTTTGAATCTTGTTATCTTGAATATTCAATTTGCATAAAATGATTATTAAAACGGTGCAATAAATTAAAAAAAACATCAGCAGTTGCCTAATTTTAAATCGTTCTAAAGAAAACACAGCTCTAAGTAACAAAACAAGCTTGAGATTTGGGATTACTTAATATTTGGTTTCTTATTTCCTACTATGTCATTTTTAATTTAAAAAAGCCACTGTTGACGCTAATTAAAAATTTGTTTAATTTTTTATTATTTATTAGAACTGCTTTTCTTAAAGGAAATAAATTGCTTACTTTTTTTATTTTAAGAATAATAAATTGTTCTTATGTCAGCATTGTATTGAGATAAAATGGCCTGTTTTATGGGGTCGGAAACGATTCCCTCCTCTGTTATTACACAAGTGCCATAAAATTGGAAAAACCATAAATGCAGATCTGAAGTGCTATGTTTTTTACCACCATTGTTAGCATAAACAATTGTACGTATATAAGTACATATACATATGTCGGGCCCGACCCGGCGCGCTTCTTTTAACAGCCCTCATGGTGAAATTTATTTTTGGAGGTGCGGCAAAAACAGCGCAATTTTTATTCGAATTTGTTCTATGTTCCGTCTACATGAACACACAATCTGACAACTTCTACATCGCATCTACTGCGTGCACTGCCTGCAGTAGAAATAGCTTCAACTGCATTTGAAAATAAACCCGCCAATACGTCAATATCCGCATCTGCAATCTGCAATCTGCCATCTGCAATCTGCAATCTCGGAAACCTCTCAGATACTCAGATACTTAGAGGCAGCTCTGTCGCGTTGGTAACATCTCCAGAATTACAAAGAATCTCAAACATATTGGGGCAGGAATTTTGCTTTTCAGTTATGTAACAGTCAGGCGCGATGTCTCGTCCTCAATATAAGCCATCTCAAGGGTTTAAACGCAGAAAAATATCTGATGCGAGATATTGGCCCTTAAGGAATTACTTCGTTACCAAGTTTTGAATCTTATTAGGTTGGGTTCAATGACTATTAAAATAGGCAAAAATGGGCGAAATAGTTAATAGCTGAAATTGAAGTGTAATATGCAGATAAGAAAAGATCGTGGTATGAAAACCATTCAAGTTTTCTAATATTTCGACAATCGTCGTGAATTAATGAAACCTTTCAACAGGAAGAGAAAGGAGACCTGAAGGCAATCGCTATAGAAAATGAAATCATATTGATTGTCTGTTCATAGATTATCATCCGTGAAGGCAGGACACAAGATCGGCTGTGATCATGGACCCAGAAGCGTTTTTGGACGTGGCCAACCAGGTCATCAAGCTGAAAATGTTTCCGTTCTTCGACATCGCTCACAGTCTACTTGCCGCGCTGGCCGTGCGTGAGGACTTGGGCGCCAATGCGCAGGCGTTTTCGCGGAAGCACCCACTCGCCTGCTGGCTCTCCACCATGCTGGTGATCTTCGCCGGCGGCATGGTGGCCAACGGTCTTCTGGGCGAGCCCATTCTGGCTCCCCTGAAGAACACGGGCCAGCTCCTTGTGGGCACGGCGGTGTGGTAAGTAAGTTGCTGATCAGCGATGAATCAGATCTCAGACTGTTCCCAATCGTTGCTCAGGTACGTGGTCTTCTACACGCCGTTCGACATCGGCTACAAGGTCGCCAAGTTCCTGCCCGTCAAGATAGTCGCCAGTGCCATGAAGGAGATCTACCGGGCCAAGAAGGTCTACGACGGAGTGGGACATGCGGCCAAGCTGTATCCGAACGCCTGGATAATCATGATCATCATTGGCACTCTGAAGGGCAACGGAGCGGGCTTCACCAAGCTGATCGAGCGCCTTATCCGGGGAGCATGGACTCCCACGGCCATGGAATTCATGCAGCCAAGCTTGTGAGTATTTCGGCATGGCCTCTTGGTCGTTGCGCTCGTGACCTAATCCATCCTTCCTATGTGCCCTTCGTAGCTACACAAAGGCCTCCTTGTTGGCCTCAATCATCTTCGTGCTGGACAAAAAGACCGACTGGATCTCGGCACCACATGCACTGGTTTACTTCGGCATCGTCATATTCCTGGTCTACTTTAAGCTGTCTTCCATCCTGCTGGGCATCCACGACCCCTTCCTGCCGCTCGAGAACCTCAGCTGCGCCATCTTCTTCGGCGGAATCTGGGACAGCCTGGCCAAGATTCTGGGCCGCGGACAGGCTAAGGACGGCGACAGCAAAGACGTTAAGAAGAACAACTAATCTATTTGTAGACAGAAGTAGCCCAGAACTTACTTAACGCTGCCAGCCAAAGCTAACACCTAACGCACAAATAGACATAACATAACATATAACACATAACATAACTACTGACGTCGAACGATCTTCCAATGCGATTTGATTCAGAAGCGCAAGCCAAAGACATTTTGTGAGCCGTGAAAATTACTCTTGAGGATCAGCACTTGGTGGGTGTGCCAGCTGTTCCTCGACTTCGATTTCACGCCGAGTGTTAGCCCTCAAAAATTTGTATTGTTTTACAATTGGTAGGATTTACAGTAGAACAGCAGAAAAGCCGAACAGCAGAAACCACAGACTTATTTAGATGCCATATGTAAGAGTTTTTAACTTGGCCAATACAGCTTATCTATAACTACTACGAAAGTCGAAAGCGATTTTAGCAACCTAATGGAGCACGCTGCAGAAGCGGCGTGCTCAACAAACGAATTTGTAAATATTGGAGAGGTACAAATCAAGTGTTGATTGATGCCCCACATTAAAGTCGGTTCATTGCTTTTTTTTTTTAATACATTTTAAGAGTTTTGGCTAAAGACGACCCATTCGAAAACTGAAGGATAGATCAGTAATTGAGACTTGTAAACATGTATTCAAGCTGAATTTAAGGCTATTGTAAGGGGTGTGAATGTTTATTGTTTGCAATAAAACTAAACTATGATTTTGATTGTCTTGTTTGCACAAATGGGGAGAAACGACTATGCGAAACGAAAGTTTTAGCAAATTGAAGTGGATGTTGTAATGATTTTTAGCATTCTTTACCATAAATCATGAAGTTTACAAAGCGGTAAACAAATGTAAACATCAAAAATTTAGGTTTTAATGATGTATGTGAAGCTAAGGATGAAAGTAATCACAGTTTACTCTCCATCTTAACGTTTAAAAAATATAAAACTTTTTAGAATCATACAAAAATATGTATCCCACATGCCTACATTGTACAATTTATTTATTTTTTCTGTTGTCAAATTCTTATTCTACAATTTCATTTATTATGTAGCACTAACGAATTATGTATGTGTTGAATTTGCAGGATTTTCACCAAGCTTAGATTTATAAAACTTTATTTTCCTGAGAACTGTAAGGAGTCACTTGAGTTTGACCCTTCAGGTCATTTACGCTGACTGTCTTTAGTTCAATCGCATTCTTTTTAATACTACTCTATTCAAAACGGTGGGCACTTAAACTCAGACAGTTTATAAATTCAGTTTGACATTTACTAATTAAGCGAAGGATTTTTAATTTTTGTAATTTAAACCAATTTTAAAAATTAAACAATGAAATATGTTTGCAGAAATGTGCCATAAATCTGTGACCTTTTTTTATAAAAATGTTTTCAGCCCACATAACTCCTGAAGGGGTATTCTGGTCTAGAAATTTAAAAATAAGAGCATTAAAAGATTCTTCACAATTCGAATTATTTAAGGAGAAACATTATAATTGGTTCCTAAACTTTAAACGCGTTTTTCTCGAAACTATTTTTTTGAGGTGGTTGCCATGATATTTCAAGTTCTACTGAACCGATTTTTTTGAAATTTGTTTATTAAACTCTCGGATTTAAAAAAGGTTGATTATAAGTATTTTTTAAATATTCGAAAACAAAAAAAAAATTGGGTAAAAAACATTTTTTGTTTTCAAGTCGACGTCATTTTTTTTTTACATTCATAGCAGGTAAGGTTTTCAACTTTTTTTTGTTTAATTGTTTTCTGAATCAACAATATGTTGAGAATATTCTGTACAAATTTCAAGCAAATCCGAGTAAATCTAACGGAGTTACAGCGTTTCAAATCTCCAGCCATGCTACCATATTGTTTACGTATGAAAAATTTAAATTGATTTCCCGAAAACGTCTTTTTTAAAGTTCGTGAAGATCAGAGCTCAAAATATACTGAACCGATCCTTTTGAAAAAAAAATCATGTCAACCAAAACACACCAACTCCACCGGTCTGTATCTCTGCAAATTTTTTTTTTATTCTCAAAATGTCAATAAAAAACCTATAAAATAAAAAATATAAAAATGTTAGGTTTCTAGGCCAGAATACCCCATTAATTATTTTATTTTCGAAGATTTTAAATTGGTGTTGAATCATCTTTGAAAGCTTATTCTGAAAATGTACTTAGAATTAAATATAGTTAGGGTATGTTTTGTGAAAAAGGGTGTTCAATGGATCCGATCGAGCCTGTGACATTGGTACCCATGTATGTAATTCTGAGCGAACCCAAAAAAGTTGAGACAGGTATACTCAAAGCAGAAAAGTTGTCTCGCTCTTATTCAATTGGAAGCTATTGATTGACTTTTGTATTGGTAATTTAAAAACAATGGGAGATTTCAGTTTAAACCTGTTAAATTTTTGTTTTAAAAGCATTGGAAATATGCGTGAAAAAAATATTTAAATATTAATTTACTTCTCGAAATATGCAATTCTTTTTAACGTTTTGATGTTTTTTTCTGGTGGCAAAGAACTTAAAAAAGGCGCGTTTTTAATTTGTTTTTCTTTACTTGTCTGAGCTTTTAAAAAAACTATATTTTTAGAAGTAATTTTGTTTTGTTTTTCGCTTAAATCAAAAAATACCACAAAAAAATCAATAAAACCATTATTGCAAAAAGAAGCACTTTTGGAGACCTTGGAAAGTGAATCGCCTTTCTAAACAGTCGTGTAGTGCGCCTTACAGTGAACTAAAAAAGAGATGGGAAAAACGACAATGGTCAGTGGAGAGGGTAGGAAATGGTGGACTACCCATAGCTCACCAATAAACTCGGAGACAGGATCGTTGTCGCCCTCGCCGCGCATGGTGCCCGTGATCTCCTCGTTCTCCACCATTGGCAGGAAGAGTTGAACGAACTCCGGCGAGTACGGGTGTGTAATGGTCTCCAGCACCTCGGTGACGAAGTACCGGATGAGGGAGATGTCCGTGTCCTCGATGGCGCAGCACTGCTTGATGTAGCGGAGGACGGGGACAACGCAGCCGCGGGTGAGCAGGTTAACCATGCGGTCCAAGATCATCTTCTTCATCTCTAGCTGGACGAGAATCTCCAACTCATCCTGCTTGGACTCAAACAGGCGGATGAGCAGGAACAGGATCTGCTGCTGCAGAGTGGGATGCACGGCCGCCACCTCGTCGAGAACGGCCAGGTGCGTGGGACAGCTGTCGGTGGAGAGCTTAAAGTAGGACGGCTCCATTACCACGTTCTCGATCCACCGAATCACGCCCACGCCCACTACTGGATACCTGGATAGCGAAGCCCAAACGTGAGTGATTCAGTTGGTTCTATGTTAGTATGAATGTATGTCTAGTGCCCACTTACTTGATGCAATTGTACAGCGTCTGCAACTCGGCGATCAGCTCCGTGGAGCCCTGGTCCACGTTGCAGATGGTGTGGGCCTTTTCGATCGCTTGTATTGTGCTCTTCAGCTCCTCCTTGTTCAGCATGCGCTCCGTCATCGGCCGCTTCTTAGCCGGCTGGTCGATGACCGCTGACGCGTAGGCGAGCAGAAACATGTACTTCGGCTTGTGCTCGGGGTTAATCTTGACACCGGACCGAAAGAGAGCGTCTACCAATAGCTCCAGAAACTGCGGGTTCCGTATCAAGTCGATGGGCGGCGGATCGGATCCGGAGTAGTTGCGGAACAGCACGGTGATGTCGGCGGGGTTCAGCGTATTGCGGGTGAGCATAGAAGTGAGCGCTTGACATGCCTGCGGATAGACTGCCGAGCCATTTAGGGCCATCGTGATGGGCGTCACATTTTGATTGCTGCAAACACAATATAAAGACAAAGATCAGTTACATGGAAGGAATAGTTTATTATGGGAAAGACATGGTTTTCTGAAGAGAGGATATCTAGTATTGATACTGCCTATCGAAGAGTAAAACTTAAACAGTACTATTTATCTACCATTTAAAGATTTATGCGATATTCCTTTTTTATTATCTTCTTTAAAACAATAAAATAAATGTATCGCAATTTCTTTAAAGTGTCTTCTTCAATTGCTTAAGACCGTTAAATCCTAAAGACTAGGCTATATTGACTATATTAAGCTAAAGAATTCGGGCGGATATTAAAAATAAAAAAAGTCCAGAGTTTGAAATAAATATTTGAATTATTTAAAGCTATTAAAATTTACACCTCAGAAGTAATTTCCGAAATGGATTTGTAGAATATTTCCAAAAATTGGGGTTTGCGTTAAAAAATCGTGGACAAAGAAAAAAATTATAATTATAATTATTATCCGTTTGCCTTTAAAACGGATTATTGGTAATTATGTCCATCTACTCTGCGTGTATTAAAAGCGATAATTAATTCTTAATAAATTTAGTTCCTTAATTCAGCAGATTGCTATCAAAACGCCGGACTCTAGAGGCCTTGTTAATAAAAACAATCGGGAAGCAAACAAAAGGGAAATCCCTATCTCAAGAAAATAAGTTTTCACAAAAGAATTCATCGATTTGGTGACGCAATTTCTTACAGTTTGGGATGAACATTCTCGGTGACAGACTTGAAATTCCAAAAAAAAAGACACTTCCAATAATGGTATGCGGATTTCGTTCTTTTTAAAAGACAATGAATTTCAACTATCGGTTGAGATGCATAGAAAATGCTTTTGGAATACTCAGTTGGAGGTGGTTTTGCAAAGAATACATTTATGTGCCCACATGAATTCCAACGCAGGAGCTGTGCCCTGGCAGAACCGAGCAATTGTCCAAGAAAGCAATTCTATTTTCATTTTTCTGAGCTCCCGGCAATGTTTTCCACACTCAATCTCATGGAATATGAACCCACATACATAGTTTAATTGATTCAAATGAAATTGTAGTAAGAGAACAAAATTTTACTTCTGTCGAACCTATGTACAATTTTCCATGGGCTTTCATAAAATATTTTCTCGATCTGCGCTAAACATAGAAGCTTTTCTTGAATTTCCCATTTCAAGATGTTGAATGCAATGGAATAAATTTCTATTCCAACTCAGATTTATGAGATTTATATGGTGTAAAGGTCCCTTTAATGTTTGTCTGATCAGAAATGTTTGACCTGCAAACATCGCAGGTGAGTAATGTGAGCTTGATTCAATTGTTTGCTTGGTTTTTGTGAGCTACTTGAGCTGAGCTCTGTTTGCTTACTTTTGCAGGGCGTATTTAATGATCTCCTGGGAGAGGCGCTTCATGTTGAATCCGCCCTTCTGCTCCTGGCTAAGCACCTGGATGAGCACCTGGGAGTAGACGTACGTGTGCTGGCCGTGACAGACCATGCGGGCGCACTCCTGGATGGCGCCATGCACGTCGTCCGGGTTGTTTAGAAACTTGACGATCGAGGTCTTTAGCACACGCGAGAAGACCTCGATCTGCTGGGCGGCCGTGGAAATGGAGGTGATCTCGCTCTGGAAGCCCGCGTCCGAGATCAACTTGATCGTAAAGTTGAGCATCAAGCAGTCGGGGTACTCCTCGGCCAGCCGGTAGATCAGCGAGCGCCACGTGTAGTGGTCGATCATCTCGGTGAGCCAGTCGGGCGTCTCGCCCTCCTCGGTGAAGATGGTGTCCGCCTTCTTGGGGTCGAAGGACTTCAGGATCATCTCCTTGAGGTGGTTCTCCACCATGGCCTGCACCTCGGTCACCTTGACGCCGGCCAGGATGAGCCACTCGGCGAGCAGGTTGGCCATCTGGGCCACCGCCTTGTAGTTCTCCGACAGCATCGATATAACCTCCTCCGGGGAGCCGCCCGACTGGAAGTAGCGCTTCAGCTGCGTGAATATGCCCGGTTCCATGATGTAGTCGGGTGTGAGGAACTTCTCCAGGCATTCCTGTATCGTCTTCTGGGGGTTGTCCTCGAGCATTTCCTTAAATTGAGTCAGGGAAATCGGAAACGGGGATTAGTTTGAAGATGCAGAGTTCAAACAAACGGCGTCAGCGAAACCGGAATGGCCTGCAAAGCCATATTACTAGCTACCTCCGAGTTTGTCTGTGCTTTGGCGCGGCCCTGCCAGCCGGAGTCGTCGTATTCTACTTCCATTTTCTCTCGAGGACTTATTTACATTAAGATATAATAATGTTTTGTTCTTGTTTTGATTAATTCCGAATTGTTTCAGTGTGGCTGCAAAACGTAAACGGAAAAATATCACGTACGAATGCCCCGTTCACGCTAGAGTGTCTTCGATGCATCTTGGGCGAAATTCAAGCAAAACAAATTTTGCCCAAAATAATAGGCACATCCAATAAATTTTCATTTTTTTTTACTTATTTATGTTTGAGCACTCGAAAGAAGAAGACGTTGACAGTAGACTTGTCACTTTGTCACCGTCTTCTAATTGTTCCCCCAAAAAATACTGCAATTATTAATTTAACTTGACAGTTATTTAGTGATGGGATCAAAATATACTAAATATACTGGGGGGAACGGCAAAAGATAGGAACAGCAGAAGTTGACGGTGGAATATCTTGAGAATATTTGGGACGGCAAGTTTATAGCCAATTCAGCTTATAGCGTATTTTCACAGAGATCCAAAGATCCTTCCACCATCCGTTGAAGGGATGGTACATAGGGTTTTGCCGTTTCAAAAACTTCCCAGTTAGTCCGCCGTTAAAATTTGACGGACTAATTTATGCGATAGTTAGCAGATGTTTCTGCGGTGCAGCCCTCTTTTCACGCAGTCCATCCCACCTTCCGATTTCCGCTGATCTTAACAGCTGTAGCTCATCAAAACATAAACAAAGATGGTTGACCTGTTGACTTTATTTTCGTTTTGAGAAGCCACTGCTGTTCAGATCAGCTGAAATCGGACTGTGGAAGGTGAATGACCTTCGTGGAAATCGAAGTTTCACATTTGTTGAAAATTCCAACCGTTTCCAATTGATGGATTGTGTGGAAAGAGGGCATTACTTGGTGTAATGTGAATTGGCTATAACGTAAACATGCCATGATGGAAAATAGATAATTACCTGGTGGAGAGCGGCTATTATTCAAAAAGTCTCAGTTGATGGGTTCTTTCTAAAGATATCGGTGAATATCGGCTAAGAGATATGTAACTGATGTGGCAACGCTGTCGCGGATGCCGGTACTGGTAAAAAATGTTTCGCTGTTGTGAATTTCAAATAAAATTGGCAAAATGTCGAACCAACGCAAGGACATGTGGAAGCTGCTCTACAACCACGTCAACCGAAACGGGGCCAACTTGTCCCGGGTGTACACTGTGATCGAGGAGATCCTGTGCCAGGAGCCGAGCCTGATAAGCTGTTCGTTGGTGCGGGAGCTGCACACCAAATTCCAGGACACGTTTCTAATTTGGCTGCTCAACAAACTGGCCAAGTGTTTGAGTGAGCCCGGCGACGGCAGGTGAGAGCCCGAGCCCAGATTGGCAGAAAGCTATAACACACCCTTGTCTTGCCGCAGTCGGTGCATCAATCTGCAGAGGAAAATACTCAGCTCCTGCTGCTCCAATCACCCAAAGCTGTACGAGCGCCTGGTGCTGGCCTATGTGGAAGCCCTGCAGGAAACGCACCAGCAGCTGAGTGCCCTCGACCTCGGCAGTCCAGGGTGCGACCAGCCTAGGCGAACCATATGCCTGAGCATCTTCCAGTGCGATGCGGCCTGCCTCCAGGAGTTCGACCAACAGTGCGCGTTCGAGGACATCAGGGTGCCCATTGAGCAGGCTGACTTGTATGCCAAGAGTCTGCTAGAGGTCCTGGGGCATGCTCATCACATTGGAGGCGACACGCACGAGGACATATTCTCAGGCAGCCTGCATCAGGCCCTTCTGATCCTCAAGGAGTGCGACATGGACACGAAGCTGACCAGCTTGGACTACTGCCACCGTGTCCTGCGGTCCCAGTCGGCCAGCAGCTGGCTAACCAATCCGGATGTTGCCCATTATGCGCAGCTTACCCTGGAGGCAACGACAATCATGTGGTCCACGGTTTCCAAGGCACTGGAAATGGGCTGTATGACACGCCAGCAGCTCAAGGGGTTGAATGTGACCACCAGAGAACTGCTGCTCGTCCTGCAGCTGCGTGGCCGACCGCCTCTTCAGCTTGGCTATCTCCTCCTGAATGAGATTCTAAGTTTGCCCGCAGGCATTGCCGTGGACGATGGCCTATTGGAAGCTTTAAGCAACTTTGTTCAAGGCCAGCTGGAGTATTCGGTGACTTCGCTGGAGCAGCTTGTGCACCTGCAGGAGCTCCTGTTGGGCCACTGGAATTACCACTTTCTGCCCATACTAGCTCCCATGGCTCTGAAACAGACTGAGGTTCGAGCCACAGTGGTGCAGGCCCTGACCCAAGCCCTCGTTCGAATAATGGGCAAGAAGGAAGTGTTGCCCGGCGACTGGAGGGAGTCGGTGGTCATTTTACGTACCTTCAAGCAGCTGGAGCAGCTCGTCCTTTCGCAGAGCCAGCTCAGAGTAGCTGACCAGGTGAAGCACATCAACTCTGCAGTGTTGGCCAAGTTGCCGCTGCAGTGCGAACTTATAAACAAGACGGACGCCAACTGGAATAGTCTTTCAATGCAACTGGTCGAGCAGGAGTCGAAATGCCCCTCGGCCGAGAGGCACATATACTTTGAGATCTGCTCGCTTCTAATGCAGGTCGCCTTCATCAGACACTTCCTGAAGACGCAGACCCAACACCAGCTGCTGGCAATTCTTCAGCGGCACATGCAGCTGTCCCACCTTTGCGCCATTCGATTGGAGACGCCTTCCAGTGCCCATACCCAAATGCAGAGCTTCTTTGCCCAGCAGCACATGAGTCTCATTCGAACGGAGGAGACACAAGAAGTGTTCTGTGACAATCTATCGCAGCTGTACATAGCGGGCTACATAAAGCCGGAACAATTGTCAAAGGCTCTGCCCTCTATCGTCGATCCAAGGGGGCGCGCTCATGTCATCCGCCTGCTTCTGTGCTCCCAGCCAGGCACTTTGAGTGTCTTTAAGGTCCAGGACCGCCTCAGGCTCTACTGCCCGAACTGCAGACCATTGCCAGATAAACTTCCGGGCATTTATCTCGGAAAATGCAAGCAGCAACTGGCAAGTCTGAACTTCTCCGGCGCCACCCTCAAGCTGATAGCGAAAGATTTTTTGTTTTGTCCCGAATTTGCCTACATTTCCCATCACTTGGAGCTGCTGAGTTTCGAACCCAACGAGGTCCTACGGCTGCTTGAGGAAACGGACGCACTGGAGAGGCTAAGCGTGGAGGGCTTCGGCCTACTGGTCCCTGCGGTGCGAGCCCTTTCGCCGGATTTCATGCAGCAATTGGCCAGTCTGGTCCTTGGTGCCATTAAAGCCATGCTGGACAAGCCGCTGCAGGAGCAAAACGTTTGGCACCAGAGGGCCATGCTGCGGATACTGGTCGCCATTGCTCAGTCGGAAGTGGATGAAATATGGCTCTTCCACTGGTTCAAAATGACGTTCTTTTTCCTGGTGCACACCTATTCTCTGGTGGCCCAAGAGGCCATCCTGGCGGCCACCAGTATGTGTGCCAGCCACGGTCTGCAGACGATCAATCTGTGGAACTGGTACAAGCGAGATGCCCTCGACCTGACCGTTCGCCTGGCTCTGACCGGATATCTCTCGGATGGCGTTCGCTTCACCCGCTCCCTCAGGGCGGTGAGTATATTTACAGCACTTTAACAAACCAAATTGTACCTTGTCTCTGTTCTCAGCTCACTAAAATGTTGGGATTCACCTGCGTCCAGGAGTTCACCTGCAAGTACCATCGCCTGCTGACCGCCATGGTGCTGCCGCACTGCATCGTTGAGCCGCGTTGCAAGGGAGTCCTGGTGCTGATAGCCAAACAGTTGCGCAAACCCATCGCAACCTTGTTCTCCACCTCCTTCCTGCGGCTCTACACCCACGTCTACCTCACCGAGGATCCGGAGCTGGCCAACAGTTGCATCGAGCTGGTGGTCAGCTGCACCCAGTCCAGCCTGCAGCAGCTAATGAACGCGGATGTGAAGGTGAGCTCAAGTTCCCATACCACCTAATATAGTATATTGCCATGAAGGAGTACATTTCGGAGCTATCAAGCGAGTCAATGTATGTACGTACGCCCTATTAAAATAGAAGCACAGATTTCAGTCAATTTTCAAAGTTTATAAGTGCGGAACTCGGGAAGCTGTTGACCAATACAAATCAAATTTAACGAATTTTGTTGGACATTTTATGAGGTAACTTAAAAACAAAAATGTTTAATTTTTATTTAAACTAATATTTTTAAACATAAACAATGTGAGTTTGTTTTTGTTTGCCTTTTATTAACTTTAAAGGATGGTACCACATCATTTCATTTTAAATCGTTATTGATTATCAGTAGCAGTCATTCTTAACGCATTTCAAAGAAACTTGCCAAATTTATTTCTGCATTTCTGCAAAACCACAATTTAGAACAAAAGTTTGCTAATTAAATGTCCAAAAGTTGATTTTTCTTTCGGAACAATGATAGATAACCGTGAAAAGTATTGTATATACTAAAAATAAATGTTTATCGAGTTTGTGAAAGCAATATTTTTCCATTGGATTGCACTTTTTGTCTGTCATACCAACCGTCCAGTGTAATAGATATCAACTGTCAATTCAATTTTCGCAATCGTGTTTCTTATTTCTCGCTTTACTAGGAAAGATCTCTTAAAGTTAATTGATTAATTTTTAGAAGAGGCGCATAAAGTTTGAATTCTTGTCAACACTATGTGTACAATATTCCACCCAAGGGTCTTTCCGATCACATTATGATTAGTCTGTGTATCCCTGCTAGCAAACGGTGGCCGAACTGCTGATTTACTTCAACCGGAACCCAACGTTCGTGATGCGCTCCTTCCAGAGCCTGCTGCAGCTGGCAGTCGGTTCCGAGGAGGAGCTATCCAGCCAGACGGCCAACGCGGAGTTTGCCAACTTCATTGCCGAGCGCTTCCTGGGTGTGATCACGTACTTCGAGAGCTGCCTGAGCGAGCCGTCGTTCGAGAAGCCCCTGAAGGAGGAGACCCTGTACAGCTTGGGCCAGATAATGCGGTTCGTGGGCTCCCAGCACGTGACGCAGTTCCGCTTCAAGATCATCGCCATGCTGAGCTTCGTGCACACGCTGCAGGAGCAGCGCCTGCAGCGCATTTGCCTCCGGATCTGGCACATCTTCCTCCATGTTGTGAATGTGCAGGAGCTGGGACCGTCGCTGGGCAGGATTGTGGCCACCCTGCAGCCGCTCCTGGCGGACGGCGACAGCGTGAGGCAGGTCAACGAGCTCTATGAGTTCATCATCCTGCGCAACGCCTCCATGCTGGGCAGCTTTATGACGGACCTCTACTTCCTCGATCGCATGGAGCATGTCTCGCCCACCATTCAACGCTGCGTCCGCCGGCACACAGCCCACCTGCACCTGAAGGGATCGGCGGAGGGGGACAAGGAGGGCACAGTAAGTACACCGCCCCAGCTACTGGAACAGTTGCGCTTCCTGCAGAAGCACATCACCGACGAGTGCCTGCAGGTGCGCGTGTACGCCCTGCAACACCTTGGGGAACTATTCGGGCGACGACGAGAGCTGCTGAACAGCACGATTTTGAGCGATGTGCCGCTGGAGCCGCTGCTGGAGGAGATTGTGAACGTGCTGATGGCCGGCTGCCAGCACGACGATCGCCAGCTGCAGATGGCGTCGGCCAAGTGCCTCGGCGAACTGGGCGCCATCGATGCCAGCTACCTGGTAGCGAACTACAGCTTCGCCAGTCCCGAACAGCTGCCGCTGAACATTCTGTCCGACGACTTTGCCGTGCTGGCCCTGACGTCGCTGTGCCGTGGCTACCAGTTCCAGCAGAAGACCAAGCACGTGGACAGCTTCTCGCTGGCCATCCAGGAGACGCTGGCCGTCTGCGGCATCTCGCCCAAGGAGCAGAAGAAGCTGCAGCTCTGGCACTCGCTGCCGGCACGAATGCGCCAGGTGATGGAGCCCCTGCTGCACTCCTGCTACACCAGCTGCCAGCGACCCAGCAGCTGCCTGCAGCAGCCGCTCTTCGGGAGCCACTACTCCTTCAACTTCTACGAGGAGTGGGCCTTCCTCTGGGCCAGCCGCTTGATCGACTGCATCCAGTCGCCGGACATTCGCCACCTGCTGAGCTCCTACAAGCCCTGCATCAAGCGGGACGGCAACATGCTGAGCACCTTCTACCCCTACATTCTGCTCCATGCCCTGCTCGAGTGCACGCCGGAGCAGCGTGGTCACATGCAGGAGGAGTTCATGGTCGTGCTGCGGGCCAACGAGGAGGCCTCCAGCTCGGCCAGGGCTCGCCAGGAGCTGGGGGCCATCAAGGACAGCGCCTTCAAGCAGTTCGAGTCCCGCAAGTACGCCGCCGGCACGAGGCCAACCCCGAGCGGTTCTGTGCTGGAGCACAAGGAGGACTCCAGTCGGGTGCCCCGCCTGGCTGGCAAGCTGTGCGCCGAGCTTCTGGACTTCCTGCAGCGCTGGCTCAGGGAGTGGCAGCGGGTACACGGTCGCAGCGCCGGCGGAAAGCCGCCGGAGACGATAGATCCCAACTACCGGAAGATCCACGAGTTCCTCAACCGGATACCCAAGCTGTTGGTGGCACGCGCCAGCTACAATTGCGGTGAATACGCCCGGGCCCTCTGCTACCTGGAGGCCTATCTGGAGGAGGGCGAGGGCGAGGACAAGTCCAAGAGACTGCTGGAGCAGTTCACGTTCCTGGTGGAGGTGTACGGATCGCTGAGGGATCCCGATTCGGTTGAGGGCGCCGTGCAGGTGCGCAGCTACGACATGAGTGTGATGCAGGACATCCTCGTCAACCGGTTGGTGGAGCGGCAGCAGGACATGATCACCTCCTACGAGCAGCTGCTCTCCAGCACGGACCACATGCAGCCGGACCACGTGCGCGCCATGATCGACGCCTACTCGAGGGACACGCCCAGGACCGCCCAGCTGATAGCCGACGGCCTCTGGCAGCGACTGTCCGACCAGTACTCCGACCAGAGCTTCGCTGAGTGCAAGTCGGAGCTGCTCTGGCGCCTCGGCAGCTACGATCAGCTGGACGAGCTGGAGGAGCTGGAGGAGCTACAGTCCAACTGGCCGGCTCAGTGCTCCCAGGGCTGTCTGCAGCTGCGTAGACCCCTCACCACGCGGACCCAGTTCGACGCGCTGCTGGACGGGATGCGGGGGTCGGTGCTGGAGCAGCTGCGAAGCTGCTCGGCCGTCCAGCAGCACTCCTACGCCAATGCCTACGATGCTGTGCTGAAGCTGCACCTGGTCCACGAGCTGCAGTGCAGCCAGAAGCTGGTGGAGCAGCTCGAACAGGATAGCGATCGCGATCGGGACAGCCAGGAGAAGCTGATGAAGGAGTACTTCCGGGACTGGCGATTCCGCCTGCAGGTCATACAGCCGCAGGTTCGCGTCCAGGAGTCGGTTTACAGCTTCCGGCGCAACCTGCTGGCGGAGCTGCAACGCCGCCTGTCGCATCGTGGCCACCTGCTGCCCCACTTGCAGACGGAGCTGGCCAGGATCTGGCTGGACAGTGCGCAAATCAACCGCAACGCTGGCCAGCTGCAGCGTGCCCAGCTCTATATCCTGAAGGCGGCGGAGCACAAACCGACGGGCCTGTTCATCGAGCGGGCCAAACTGCTGTGGCAGAAGGGCGACCAGGTGATGGCCATGAACTACCTGGAGGAGCAGCTGTCGGCCATGCGGGCGGCCTGCCACGGCAATGTCAAGCAGCTGGAGGCGGGCCAGCGACACCTGTTCTTCCAGGGGAAGTACCTGCAGGCCGTGTACAGCGCCGAGTCGATGCACATGTGCGCGGACGCCGTGCTGAAGTGCTTCGAGGAGGCCATTGCCGTGCACCGCCAGTCGGAGGGCTGCTACGTTCAGCTGGCGCAGTTCCTGGAGAAGATGCGCGAGGCCAGGCAGGGCGGTGTGGCGGGGAACAGCGGTGGCGAGCTGGACGACCTGCTGATCAATGTGATGGTGAACTATGCGAGGTCGCTGCGCTATGGCAGCGAGCACGTCTACCAGTCCATGCCGCGCCTGATCAGCCTCTGGCTGGACACGGCCGAGTCGTCGAGCAACGGCGAGCAGGTGAAGAAGATGAACGACCTGCTGACCAACTGCTGCACCGCCCTGCCCACGGCCATCTTCTACACGGTGTACTCGCAGATGCTGAGTCGCCTGTGCCATCCGTTGCCGGAGGTCTTCTCCGTGCTCCGCAACGTGATCGTCAAGCTGGTGGAGGAGTACCCGCAGCAGTCGCTCTGGATGCTGCTGCCGCACTTCAAGTCGGCCAAGGCCAGCAGGATCAAGCGCTGCAAGCTGGTGCTCACCGACAGCCGGCTGCAGAGCTCCGCCTTCCAGAAGCTGCTCAGCGACTTCAACTCGCTGACGGAGCGCCTCATGGAGCTCACCAACAAGGAGGTGGCCCTGGACCGCACCTACAAGCTGAGTGACCTCGACACCCGCCTCACCAAACTCTGCCGACAGTCGGAGTTCTCCGACATACTCCTCCCCTTCGAGAAGTACATGCAGCCCACACTGCCGCTCAGCTCGGACAGCGGCTCCTCGTCGCCGCTGTCGCACATGCCGGCACTCGGCAACAGCAACAGCAGCAGCAGCAGCAGCGTGAAGGCCAACTGGTTCCCCTACCAGCAGATATACATCAGCGGGTTCCAGGAGTCGGTGCTGATCCTGCGCTCGGCGGCCAAGCCCAAGAAGCTCACCATTCGGTGCAGCGATGGCAAGGACTACGACGTGTTGGTGAAGCCCAAGGACGATCTGCGTCGGGACGCCCGCCTGATGGAGTTCAACGGCCTGGTCAAGCGGTATCTGCATCAGAACGCGCCTGCCCGCCAGCGGCGACTCCACATCCGCACGTACGCCGTGCTGCCCTTCAACGAGGAGTGCGGCCTGGTCGAGTGGCTGCCCAACCTGGCCTCCTACCGCAGCATCTGCATGAAGATGTACGCCCAGCGGGGAGCGGTGATGTCCAGCCGACAGCTGCACCAGCTGGCCGTGCCGCTGAGCGACCCCATTGAGCGCAAGCGGGAGGTCTTCACCAAGAAGCTGCTGCCCGCCCATCCGCCGGTCTTCCACGAGTGGCTGCGCCAGCGCTTCGTCACCCTGCACAGCTGGTACGAGGCGAGGAACAGCTACATCCGCACCGTGGCCGTCATGTCCATGGTGGGCTACATACTGGGACTGGGCGATCGGCACGGCGAGAACATCCTGTTCGCCGAGGGCAACGGCGACGCCGTCCACGTCGACTTCAACTGCCTGTTCAACCAGGGCGAGCTGCTTGCCTACCCCGAGGTGGTACCCTTCCGGCTCACCCACAACATGACCATTGCCATGGGCCCGCTGGGCGTGGAGGGCAGCTACCGCAAGTGCTGCGAGATCACCCTGCGGCTGCTCAAGCAGGAGACCAAGACCCTCATGTCCATGCTGAGGCCTTTCGTCTACGACGTGGGTGCCCAGACTCGGACTGGCGCCGCCTCGTCCAAGATAACCAGGGATGTGCAGCGCATCGCCGATCGCCTGCAAGGACACGTAAGCACATTCTCTCTGGGATTCAAAAGTCAATTATTCATATGCTCAGTTAATGTAGTTTACTTAAGAGAACAGGATATATTTATGTTATATTCTTAAACATCATCTCAAGACTTATTGCCTCATTCCATTGGCGCATTAAAACGCATTTAGACTAATGCGCATTTATTAACACAGGAAATCCCATAGGGCTAAATTCCGCATTTCAAATAAATGCGATTATTAAATGCGATTAAAAACCATTAGCCCCGAACCCCGAACCAGTCATAACAACACAATCAGCTTCTCTTCCTTGTCGTCCAAGTTGGCAAATGCCTCGGTCGCAATATTGATGTCCTGCTGAGAATTGAAGAGTTTAGTAAACTCACTCATGTTCATTAATTTTAATTAATTTCTTTTGCATTTGCCAAAATTCAAAAGTAAACAAACTCAGATCAGCTGTTCGTGCCACTCACATGTCGGAGTAGCATTAACTAAATGCTAATGCGCCAATGGAATCAGGCACATTTAAAAAGTCCACTAAAGCGTCAATGGAATCAGGCTATTACTCAAGTCGATATACAAACCATATCGACTGTTTAAAGTCCAGAAGCTTAAACGTTAAATACTCTCTCAATTGCATTGATTTGCGAACCAACTTTATATAGTGTTTTCGTCCGATTTTAGGCGTTTAATAGTTACAACTACATTTGGGGGAAAAAACAAAGTGAAAATGATTAAAGCATTGAATAATTGATTGTATTTGATAACTACCAAGAATGACTTGTATCGATTATTTAAGGTCCAGTTCATTGTTTCACACATTCCAAAAACGTTTAGATCAGTCAATCAACGTTGTCGATTAACTACGAACAGTTGCTACTAAATTGAGCTTGGGGTAAAAACAGTGGTCAATTTTCAAATTGGGAGCTTTGTTGACTAAATAATTGTGAAAGGCAAGAAACTCTGGACCACTCTCATTAAGTTAAGACTTACGAAATCATATAACCAGCGATTCCCTCTTTTGCAGGTCAAGCTTCAGCAGGCCAACAGCATTCCCCTCTCGACCGAGGGCCAGGTGAACTTCCTCATCAACGAAGCCACCAAGCTGGACAATTTGGCAGTCATGTACATTGGATGGGGAGCGTTTCTGTGAACGCAAGTGCTGTGATCCGTCGAGGGTTTGTACATTTGTAAAATAATCAATGTTGAATTTATATAGGTCAGAGAACAATAAATTGCTTAGCTTCAGATGAATAAAATCACAATTGTTTCGGATCTACTACTTGTTACACCATAAAGGAAATCCCATTTAAAACTAGAAGCTTTGAATTGTCATTTATTCTTTCCATTTTATTAGTAACTATTTTGCAGTGTTTTTCTTTTAGTTTTCCTAAACTGCTGGCTTGCCCGCGGGCGGCATTTTTCGGAACATGTCTTGAACGGCCTTGACGGCAAAGTCGGGCAGCAGACAAGCCGCCGAGCAGACTACCGTGAAGAGCCACAAGGGAAGTGAGGTCAGGAACTGGTTGTAGACGTCGTAGAGCTCCCCACTAGTGACCAGGTTGTAGAGGTATGTGGTCAGCATGAAGGCGACTATTTGGGCGGGGATCATGGCGAAGTTCACATAGGACATGTAGCGGGCCACCAGGAGCAGCTTCAGGTTGCCCACGATCACGATGATCGTTATGAGCATGGTGCCGAAGGTCTGGAAGCTGGCAGGCTGTCCCATGTTGAACAGAACATTCTCATCGTTGAGCACGGCGTAGGTGAAATAGAAGATCGTGAAGCACTGGACAAACCCGTTGAGCATCCATAAGCAGAAGACCCTCATTGACGCCTGGCGGTTGTGGGCAATGCGCTTGTATAGTTCCGGATGGCTGAAATACAATTTCAGAGAGTTAGATGCCAGAAAAGAAGGGGAAAGACGTTTAACTCAACGATATCTGCTCTCGAAGTTATAAAGAAGTCGTATTGATAAACTCATATATGACAGTTGAAGAATTCAGACGTCAGATTTTAAAAAATTGCCACTACTGAGGTTGTATTAATCGAAATCTGATTCTTATTTTTGGTCGGCAAGGCTGTTAATATACAGTGAGTAGAAAAACTATTCGCACTCTCTTCACTTGAAAGCCCACAGCTTCTTAGGTCTTTAGTACAACTTAGAACAAACAAAAGCAAAAAAATTAGAGATAAGCAACTGACATATATTAAACAAATTAAAAAAAAAATAAAAACATTAATTATTTTAAAAACATACTTGTATTAATAAAATATTGCAAAACAAAACACTAATTTATACACATTCATTTTTTTGAGTAGCCTTTTAATTTTTAGAGGCGTCAGGTTTTATGGCTTTGGCTAGATCATTCCATTGTCAGGGATTCTTTTCAAGATATCACGTGCAGGAGAATCCCTTTTCCCAGAAAGTCTCACTCATGCTAGATAGATTAAAGTCCAGTAGTTTTAGAGAGGATTACACTAGTTTTCGATGGTAACAAAGCCATTTCTGAACCAAATAATAATAATCTTTGAATAAGTTGTTTTGTTGTATGAAGAAAGTTCTGGAATTTGATGACAGTTTCAAAATAATTTTGATCTAAGGGTTCTTAAAAACGTGCTGGTCCGTTTTGTTAAAAAAAGAAGGTACATTCAAACCATAACACGTATGTATATAATGCCCAGTTGCCGACTATCACAAATGTTTCCCGTAAAGATATTCGACCAACTCCATTCATAATTATCTACGTAAATAGCTAAGGAGTGGAAGTATTCTGGTATTATCATTGCAATTACCTCAGCAGCGTCTCCTCGCTGTATTCCTTATCGGAAAAGGAGAGGTATGTGAAGCTGAACGAGATGTAGACGAAGTCGAAGAGCCAAAGGTAGAGCGAGTTGTAGACGTTGGTGGCGGAGAAAAGGTCGTAGACCTGGAAGAGGGCCATGCACCCGGTGATGATGATGTTTTTGTAGCAGTAGAAGAGCACCAGGAAGGCCAGGCGCTGGGAATTGTAGTGCCCGTGGACGAGGAGCAGGCGGCGCAGCATCTCGAAGCGGGCGATGGCGAAGTCGGCACACCGGGCCGCCTGTTTTCCCTCGCGCCCCGCTATTCCGATGCCGATGTGCGCCTCCTGGATCATGGACACGTCGTTGGCCCCGTCGCCAATGGCCGCCGTAATGTGTTTCTTGCGGCGTTTCACCAGCGTGACGATCTCGCTCTTCTGCAGCGGACTCAGTCGGCAGCAGAGCACGGCCCGGCAGTGCAGGGCGAGATCGGCGAATTGGCGAGGCGCATGCGTCAGCAGGGTGGAGATCGTCGTTCCATCCACCACCAGGACCTCCGGATCTGCGGCCTCAATCTCCTGCAGGCGGGTCTGCAGCTCCTCCGGGTCGGTGACGTTGACGATGAAGTGCTGTCTTGATCCGGGCGGGATGTGCCGGCAGGCGAGACCGATGTTGTAGGCCGTTTCTACTTTGTCACCTGTAAGCACCCAGATCTTTAGACCAGCCGCTTGTAGAGCTTCCAGGGTCTCGCCCACCTGCTCCTGCAGGGCGTCTTCCAAGGCGGTGGCGCCGAGTAGGTCAAGATCTGCAAGGAGAAGAGTGTATTTCGGTTAGACGGGTTTTAGTAAATAAACTCCATATAATATTATAAAAAATTGAACTGAAAACATTCTTGGCTTACCAGTCAAAACTATTTTATAAATTTTATTCTTTTTGATGGTTAAAAATTAAAGAATTTGTAACACTGTCAGTATACACATAAGAATTTCGATCTTAAAGACTATAGCTATAGCCATTTTCACATTACTCATTATTAATTATTGAAACCTGCTATATCCGTCTCGAAGGACCATATATATGTAAGCGTTTTGTTTCGCTGGTCTATTTGCGCCTCGTACTGCTCCTTAGACTGTGAAATAAACTAAATTACCGGCTGAAACCTGAGTAAACACAATAGCAATTCGTAAGCAAAACTGATCTTTCTACCGCTTTCTTTTATTTACTCTTGACGGGGTCCCTATGAACGGAGCACTTAAAGCTAAACTTTTTCCATGCCTTACTGAATATATATCCTTAATATGCCTTAAGTTATCTGATAGCCAGATAAGGATTTATCCATTGGCGAATAAATAAATAAATAAATATTATTAAAGCAAAAAAGAGCTTACCGATCTCGACCGTCTCGTAGCATTCTGTGATTAGTTCATTTCGGTTACTCAGCTGGGTGTTGGCCCTCCGGTAGAGCTCCTCGAAGTTGGCCCACTTCTCCTCGGTCAGAGTACGTCGGGCCACGGCCAGAGTGCGAAGTCCCCGCTGAGCGTACTTTGTTATCTGGTCGTCGGTTTGCTGCAGACGATGACTCGTCTTGCACCGTGGAAAGATGGCGTCCTCCGCTCCCTTGCAGTAGAGCCAGATGGTGCCACTCCGGTCTCGGAGTATGACGCTCATCCGCTTTCGCTCCGAACTGAACTCCAGGACGTGGAGCCGCTCGAACTGCAGCTCCTCAGCGCTGGGATATCGGCAAATTCGCAGAGTATTGTTGCTTTGTCCCTGGTACACAAGACCAAGGTTAGCACAGCCCTCGAGAAGAGCCATTTCGTCCGGACTAGACGCCTGATAGCGGTCGACAATACTTTTGCCCATCAAGTGGCTTCTTTCCGACACGGACTCCGACGACTCCAAAGGCTTTACTCCCACTTCCTGGAGCACTTCTACGGTGTGACACACGGTAAGCGCCTCGAAGAAGACAGATGCCTCGGCCTGGATTAAAGTGAGAGAAAGTTGATTCAGAGAATACTTAATTGTACACTATTCTTACTTCACTATTTTCTTAAGCTAAGACCAATGGGTCGTAAATATAGAACACTCGACCAATTGTGTGGTCCACTTTTCCACCAATTTTTCTATTTAACATTATTCTTCCTACCTTTATATTAAGTTCACTTTATGTCGAAAAAGAAAGTTCTAGAAAAATATATGAATTAGGGCATTCAAAATGAACTCTTTTTCATTAAAAGTAACAAGAAGGCCAAATAAATCTCTTATCTGCTTGAGGTTAAGAGTATCTTCATACCAATAAAAAAAAAATAAAAATTTAGCATTGTGTTTAATAAATACTAACAAAAACTCTTAATTTCGAGAATTTCAGAAAAAATACCATCCGATAATCGCCTGTTTTCTTGTATAACTGAAATCATTTGTTTACAAAAATACACGTCTTCGGTTCTACAAAAACATAAAGTATTTGTTTAGTTCTTCATGGTCAAGCAGCAAATTCTAGACTTAGAAATTAGTGTCCATTGCATTGGCATATGTATGCTATGTATAACTAGTAAATATTTTATTATTAAACGTCATAATCTCATAACAAAAGTAAGATAGAGACTGAAACTATCTTAGCTATCTTAAACAGACATTTTGAGCAACTCACGTCTAGCTTCTCCAGATCAATCTGTTCGCCTGTGGTCTCGCAAAGGAGATAGGTACTTTGGAGATGAAAATTCATGTCGGACACATAGCAATCGACGAACTTCATGAGGTTCTTGGTGAGAGTGCCGGTTTTGTCCGAGAAGAGGATGTTGACCTGACCCAGCTCCTCGTTAAGATTGGACGCGTTTACACGGCAGGGCTGGTCGGTTTCCTCGTCGTAAAGGTGCAGGTCGTTGTGCATGAAGTACATTCCGAAAATGCGATACAGCTCGATGTTCATATAGGCGGAGATGGGCACCATGTAATTGAAGAGCAGCAGAAACGAGAGGAAGTCCTCGAAGATCTGCAGTGCCGAGTTGAAGTCCGTGGGCGGGCCAAGATAGGGCATGTTTGGGACAACCTTCGTTTCCTTGTGTCTGTAACAAAAAAAAGTTTTAAAATTAATATGGAAGAACGCTTTCAGCAGTTATTATATAAGTTTTTTTCACAAAATAATGTCGTTTCTATTTTTACTTATGTCGAGGAAAAGAAAAAAAGCTCAAAAAAATAAGGCTGTTTAAAAAACCTCATTTGGAAACTGTGCCTATTTATCAAGAGTTAAATGCTAAGGTTTTCGGTGCAGTTGGACTTCCGGCCTAGAAATAGAACCTTTACAATTTTGTTTAAGGTAACCTTTTTTTATACCCTTGCAGAGGGCATTATAATTTCTACGCAAACTGGTCTCTCCCCAAAAGTTGTGTTTCTTTTTTAGTTTTTTCGACATTTAGTAATTGTAAAAAATTTCAGAATTACGGTTTAAATTTCATCAAAATCGAACAAAAAAATTAAATTAAAAAAAATAAATTAAATTTAAATGTAACTTTTCTATTTTGTATTTTTTTAAAATTATTTTTGACTTATTAAAAATTTGACAGTTTAGAAATACGCTTTTAATTTTATTAAATTCGGAAAACGATATCATATAGCTGATATAGGAACTATCGAAAAATTAAGCTGAAAATGATCATAGCTTCAATGTTCCTTATTTTTTTTGCTTACACTCTTAAAACACCACCGCATTGTAAAAAGAATTACGTCAAAGTTGAAAAATCTGATTTTTAAACAATTTCACCAGTCTTAAAGTGATTCTAAAATATATCTTCAATATATATTTTTAATGGAATGAATTTTAATTTTTCTTGGAATCTACAGTCCTCTTTGTGTTTTTTTGCAATTTTGGTTTAAACAGTATTTATTTATAAATTATATGCAAGATTGTTGGCTACTACTATTTACTACTATTTTTCTCCAATATTATAATAATAATATTATGCTTACGTTATAATATAACTAGAATCTGTATGCCAAATCTTTAGCTTTTAAAGATCTCGACGTTCATACAGACCAGCAGGAATGGCTAGATCCACTAGGCTATTGATCCTGATCAAGAATATATATACGTTATTGGGTCGGAAACGTTTCCTTCCACCTAATACATACTTTTCTACGATTTCTATATACCCTTTTACCCTACAAGTACGGGTATAAATAAATAAGTAATTTGAATTTTGAAAAACCTTCTTAGAAATAAAAATATTCTTAAATAAATTGTAATTAGTGTACAGTTGATTTTTTTTTTAATTTTTGGGGGCACTAGGAAGGGAAAAATTCGATTATTGTATACGAATTGAGATGTTTTTAAATTTTCTTTCACAAAAAAGAAAATGTATCAAATGTGATTGTAGGTTTGGTAATTTTTGGGATGTTCACAGGTTTTATTTTTTTTTTTACTCGAAATTTTGAAAGTAAAATCTCAAATCTCTCTGCATATTAAATTGTAATCTTCAAAAAAAAAACTGAAATAACAATAAAAAAACCATGCCAGCTTAAGATATGTTAATAGTTTACACTTGACGGCGTCCAAGGCTAAGAATATCTTCTAACTACAAGAGTAGCGTAGGATTTAGATTTTCTAAGCGGAGCTGCCATCTACTCACCTCTCGATGAGGTACAAAACGAGCACCACCACCACCATGCCAAGGATGAGGGCCACCATGAACCTGTTGATGTACTTCTCGCTCGAGGCTGACTTGTTGCCCGTGTAGCGGCTGTTCAGCTGCAGCTTGGTGTGCATTCCGGTGTAGAGGGCGCACCCCACCACCCTATCGGTGGCCTTGACCCGGACCCCGCGCAGCAGCAGATTGTCAATGGTGAGGGGCAGGGCGTGGTCACCACCACCACCGCCAGCACCGTCAGTTCCCAGCTCCAGACGGCCATTGAAGCTGTAGAGATCTGCGGTTGGGGCCTCGCACACAATGAAGTCCTGGCTCTTGGGCGAAAGTTCGTAGTTCGGGGGCACGCATACGGTCTTCAGGTTGGTCTCCCCATCCAGGTTGGCGGTGGTCACGAAGCACTTGCGCTCCGCACCGGAGGATTGGAGCAGCACGAGGTCGCAGGGCAAGTCGCCATCGTTTCGCACCACCACGAGATCGCCTGGCACAATAAACTGCGAGTCTATAACCTCTTCCTTTCCGTTCCGGATGACGGTTACTTGAACAGAAAAAGTTTGGTTTTGATAAGTCAAATGAGAATGGAAACACTTTTCGCTTTTAATTTCATCCATTGCGGTTTTTAAATAATTTAGTATATTTTTAGTGTTTTTCAAATCTGAGTCATTGATAATCATGTTTTGTTATGCATGTGTGAAAAAACGGAGAGCACACATTCTATTACATGTATTTGTTATAAAGGTTTTGACAAATCCTCCATTAAATAGGCATAACAACAGGTGAAAAACGTTAAACTTTGAAACAAATTCTTCTATACAAATACATTTTCATTTATATATATATTCTTACCTCTGGCTGTGTTTACAAGCCTATCGCTTTTGGACCTCGACAGGTCTTCCAAGCCCTCTTTAAGGGCCGTGATGATCATGACAAACAGCAGGGGCAGCAATGAGACATACGGCGATATTGTTTCATCTGTTTTAATTGTGGGGGATTAGCGCTGACCCTTTCGCAAATCATATGGGGAGGCCATACTTACTTACGAAGAATGAGACAATTGTGATGATCAGAAAGTAAAAGTAAACGGCTCGCCTGAACTGCTCATAGAAGTTAAAGGGCAGGAATGTTAGCCAAGTGTACTTGGTGGTTCTAACCCGGTTCAGAGGCTGCTTCTGACGGCCCGCAATACCGCCAATCTGTATCCGCAAGGGATCCACCGACCTTTTCTGGCCCGAACCCATTGCCACTGCCTGTTTGATTCTATTGACTCTCCGTCTCCGGGGATATTGACCTCTGTTGCTCGATCTGTTGCTCGATCAGTGCTTCATTATAGCTGAGAAACGGCTGGAGGTGCGCACGCGCGATTCCTTTCGGAGCAAAAGTTCGACTGAAATTCGAATTCGAAGTGAAAGAGCCACATAAATTGGCGTATGATAAAGATAATTTCCCGTTTCCGCTTATGCACAACCAATTTGGTTTTTAAGTGGCCCTGTCACAGAGGTATCCCATGAAAAAGACTGCAAATCGAAGCCTTTTCTCCGGCGTTGTCGATTAGTCCAACACAATGCTCAGATTAGATGCAGTCGATCATGTCAGATTAACAGTGAATTTGAATTTGAGACATGGCCGCTTGTCTTTGGGTTTAAATTACTTCACACCAATGAACAAACATGTGTACCAACGCGAACCCTTTACTGATTACTTTTATCGCCTATTTGAAATTCCAATATCTAATCCACCTGATGCCTCTCCTCACACTACCCTAATCACTAGTCTAATCAGCACAACACTGCGATTATGGCAATGGCACTTGGAGCTGTTTTTAAAAATAAATTAGGCTCTTTGAGCTATGGACTCCTAGCTTCTGTACAGAGAGGGGAGAGACCCGACTACGATATACCCTCTGCTCACTGCTCTGTTATTTAATGAATTAATTAAAGAAATAAGCCCTCATTTATGCTTTCCAAGTTTCCCAGTCGATGCAATTGATTGGGTTGTTTAGTGAAAAGATCTTGTGGTGCTTCCAAAATACAAGCAATTTTCGAACAAATGTTTCCAAAAAATGTTGTGGTTAAATGAAAGATATTAATAAATTTCTACCAACCAATTTAATTCCCGTTTAATGTTTTAATCAGCCAATTAGTCAATCACTTAATAGATTGAAACATAAATTAACCACAATAAATGAAAATAAAAAAAAAATCTGACGACTATATCATATAGCTCACAAGGAAACAACAATACAATTTTTCAAATGTAACTTTTTTATTTTTTAATTTTTATACCCTTGCAGAGGGTATTATAATTTCAGTCAGAAGTTTGTAACGCATTGAAGGAGACGTTTCCGACCCTATAAAGAATATATATTCTTGATCAGCATCACTAGCAGAGTCGATCTAGCCATGTCCGTCTGTCCGTCCGCAAACTAGTCTCTCAGTTTTAAAGCTATCTGCATGAAACTTTCCCAAAAGTTGTCTTTCTATTGCAGGTAGTATATAAGTCGGAACGAGCCGGATCGGACGACTATAGCATATAGCTCCCATAGGAACAATCGAAAAAATAAATACAAAAAAATTATAACTTTGCTGTTTTTTAATTTTTTTTTTAGTTGCTGGGTATGCACAACTAGATTGTGTTGCGCTAGAAATTTACTTCCCATTTTGTATTTAAATTATGATTTTTAAGTCGAAAGTCTAATTTTAAAGTGTATTCCCGGTATATCCCGGATTTTGAATGAAGACCATAGACAAGTTTTCTTTTTTGCTAAGTGTATTTTTGTGTTTACAAATAATAGTGCCGGACGAGAAGAGCAGGGACAAGATCCAATAGAGTGGTGGGATGGTTTAAGTTTCGGTGGTGCAGTTCAGTAGTTGACTCCAGTATCCTCCTTGTTGGACATCTGTTTTCGAACTTTCAAGTGCTTGCCATCTGGAATACAAAATATAAAAATATAATGTATTTAAATAAATAATTGCTTGGTTACTACTCATTATTTGTCCAGTCGATAATTGATTGAGAACTGAACTGCACTGCAAGATACGGTTGAACCTCCACTCAACTTGTTTGCCATTCCGTTTAAGTGTTTAACAGGGAATTTGAAGTCTACGTTCAATCAAGTATCAATCGCATTCAGTTGGCAAGCTTTGAAATTTAATTCATATATTTAACATAGCAAGAAAAAGTTGCGTTAATATTATTTACTTACTGCATGGTTAACCGGGTTTTTTGTACAATCTCCCTTTATGTCCATTAGCAAGCATTTGTTTGTTGTTTATTAAGAAAGTGTTTTTCAAAAATGTTATTTAACACTTTATGCTTAAAACTAAATTTGGCTTTTTTTGTATTGTTCAGAAGGCAATTTCCTGTGTGTTATTTCTCCGACTTGGTTGTGTATACTGAACTCTGTAGGGACTGATGGGTGTAAGTAGAACTCGAAATTAAAAGCATGGATAGTTTGATCAAGAAAAAGGGAACAAATTTGAAATTTTCAGAAAATGAAAAGCCGATTGGATCAGAATATGATGAGAACATGATAAGTCCATGTAGAATTTTCGAAGTCCTTTTATAAGAAACCCATATCAATTAATACACAAGAAAAGGAACAGGCTTAAAATGCGATTCTGAAACTTCTTCAAACCCTATGGTATCTCCTAGTCGAGTCTACCCAACTCCCAAGGATAGCCACCTGTTGCTGCTGACTGGATGATATTGTTGTAATACTGGGCAGAGCCCCGGGGCAGTCTTTATTTTCTTGGGTTTCGCCTCTTGTTTTCCCGCTCTCTGGTTGAGGCTGCCACTTAATTTATTTGTCACCGAAATTTAAACCGTAATTCTGAAATACTTAATCATTACTATATGTCGAAGAACTAAAAAAAAACATTGAAAAACAGCTAAGTTATAATTTTTTTTGTATTTTTTCCCCGATTGTTCCAATGGAAGCTATATGATATAGTCGTCCGATTTAGATGAAATTTAAACCGTAATTCTGAAATGTTTAACCATTACTGTAAGTCGAAGAACTAATAGAAAAATTTAAAAACAGCAAAGTTATAATTTTTTTTGTATTTTTTTCCGATTTTTCCTATGGGAGCTATATGATATAATCGTCCGATTTTGATGAAATTTAAACCGTAATTCTGAAATGTTTAACCATTACTGTAAGTCGAATAGCTAATAAATTTATAATAATTTATTATTTATTTAATAATTTATAATTTAAATTTTAATAATTTATAATAATTTATTATAATTTCAGTCAGAAGTTTGCAACGCAGTGAAGGAGACGTTTCCGACCCTATAAAGTATATATATTCTTGATCAGCATCACTAGGCGAGTCGATCTAGCCATGTCCGTCTGTCCGTCCGTCTGTCCGGCCGTTTCTACGCAAACGAGTCTCTCAGTTTTAAAGCTATCTGCATGAAACTTTCCCAAAAGTTGTCTTTCTATTGCAGGTAGTATATAAGTCGGAACGAGCCGGATCGGACGACTATAGCATATAGCTTCCATAGGAACAATCGAAAAAAAAAAATAAAAAAAAATTATAACTTTGCTGTTTTTTAATTTTTTGTTCAGTTCTTCGACATATAGCAATGGTTAAATTTTTCAAAATTATGGTTTAGATTTTATCAAAATCGGACGACTATAGCATATAGCTCCCATAGGAACAATCGGAAAAATAATTGAAAAAAAATTATAACTTTGCTGTTTTTTAATTTTTCTATTAGTTCTTCGACTTAAAGTAATGGTTAAATACTTCAGAATTTCGGTTTAAATTTCATCAAAATCGGACGACTATAGCATATAGCTCCCATAGGAACAATCGGAAAAATAATTGAAAAAAAATTATAACTTTGCTGTTTTTTAATTTTTTTTTTTAGTTCTTCGACATATAGTAATGGTTGAATATTTCAGAATTTCGATTTAAATTTCATCAAAATCGGACGACTATATCATATAGCTCCCATAGGAACAATAAAAATATATAAAATAACTATCAAATAATTGAGCTGCAAATCATCATAGCTGCAATGTTTTTCAGCATATACTCAAGTAAATCATAATTTAAATGTTTTCAAAAGTATTTAATTCATGCAATAGCTGCAAGGGTATATGAACTTCGGCTTGCCGAAATTTGCTTTCTTTCTTGTTTTAGTTTAACTTTTGTGCAGGAGACAAAGATTTCAAATCCTTTTCGTGGCAAGTTCAAAATTGTTCGTTTTTTTGTTGATCTATTAAAGTAGTGGCTAAAACCGTTCTAAAAAGTCGTTTAAATAGAAGAAAATGAACCCTCCCATAGGTTGAGAATACTTGTACATTTTTTAGGGATCGCGTTTTAAGATGCAAGCGGTCGCAAGTTCAAATCGAGGTCGTGGTAAGAGTTTTTCTAAATATTGACTACAAGCTTTTTCTGTATATAAAATGAATTATAAAATGTAAATATTTAATGAAATAAAATGTTTAATAAGTTAACAAAATATAAAGTAATATATAAGTATTTCTAGAAATATTTACCATTGAATTATGAAAGACTTGGTAATATTTTGATTACTTGACATCCATTTAATACAGTTGTATGGCCGCAAAGCTCCAAAACCTAGTTCCAATAAAAGAATACCTTAGGACCACGACCATTATTCTTCCCTGTATGCCTTGGCTAAAAAAACCATAGCACAAAGTTCTGCCAATGCCCGAAAATTGTACAATGTGTCGATAAGTGTATTAATTATTGACAATAGTAGAAGAAATACTTAAAAAGCCCTAATAGCTCAAAATAAATGTGATATATCAATACAAATAATTTTTATACCCTTGCAGAGGGTATTATAATTTCAGTCAGAAGTTTGCAACGCAGTGAAGGAGACGTTTCCGACCCTATAAAGTATATATATTCTTGATCAGCATCACTAGTAGAGTCGATCTAGCCATGTCCGTCTGTCCGTCCGTCTGTCCGTCTGTCCGTCTGTCCGTCTGTCCGTCTGTCCGTCCGTCTGTCCGTCCGTCTGTCCGTCTGTCCGTCCGTTTATATGCAAACTAGTCTCTCAGTTTTAAAGCTATCTGCATGAAACTTTCCCAAAAGTTGTCTTTCTATTGCAGGTAGTATATAAGTCGGAACGAGCCGGATCGGACGACTATAGCATATAGCTCCCATAGGAACAATCGGAAAAATAATTGAAAAAAAATTATACCTTTGCTGTTTTTTAATTTTTTGTTTAGTTCTTCGACATATAGCAATGGTTAAATAATTCAGAATTATGGTTTAAATTTCATCAAAATCGGACGACTATAGCATATAGCTCCCATAGGAACAATCGGAAAAATAATTGAAAAAAAATTATAACTTTGCTGTTTTTTAATTTTTTGTTTAGTTCTTCGACATATAGCAATGGTTAAATAATTCAGAATTATGGTTTAAATTTCATCAAAATCGGACGACTATAGCATATAGCTCCCATAGGAACAATCGGAAAAATAATTGAAAAAAAATTATAACTTTGCTGTTTTTTAATTTTTTGTTTTGTTCTTCGACATAAAGCAATAATTAAATATTTCAGAATTATGGTTAAAATTTCATCAAAATCGGAAGACTATAGCATATAGCTCCCATAGGAACAATCGGAAAAATAATTGAAAAAAATTATAACTTTGCTGTTTTTTAATTTTTTTTTTAGTTCTTCGACATGTAGCAATGGTTAAATATTTCAGAATTATGGTTTAAATACGCAAGTAAATCATAATTTTAATATTTACAAAAATATTTAATTCTTGCGATAGCTGCAAGGGTATATGAACTTCGGCTTGCCGAAGTTTGCTTTCTTTTTTGTTTTTCAATTATTTTTGTATAACTCATAATTTTTTACATTATAAATTTGTTAGTTATTTTAAAAATTTCCCTTGTAAGCTTTAACTTTTTTTGCCCTTTTTTAGCCGTTTTCCCGCAAAATTAGCGGGTTTTCCAGAAAGTGGTAGAACAAAAGTTTTTCAGTTCAAGCTGCTTAATACAATCAAATCGGTTTCAAGGCACTAAACTATCCGACATTGGACGACATTACCTTTTGTTTGTCATTTTTTAAGATCGGACTAATATTTTAGCTGGTTTTCAATATTGCGCACACTTTCCGGTGCTCATCGTCACTACGTGGAAAAAAAAAAGAAAAGGTATCTTTTTTTGCACTTCAAGTAATTTTCGTGGCATCTAACAACCGCTTCTGACAGTCTTCTGTACCTTTTGTAATTCTGAGGCTCGGAATAAGCATTATAAGCGTGATAAATATTTCAGGCTAAAAAAACCAACAGCATGAATTACTTAAGTAACGCCTTTTACAGAGCTCTAGATACCTTTAATCCTTATTTATCGGGTATCTCTTCCCAAAGGAGATGTTGGGCACAGTGTCTACCAAAGAAAACTATTGCAGTCACCTTTTTATGAGGGAATTAAATTGAATGTTTAAATATTAGTTTTTATAGTTGGAAACGAATGGGTTCGTTTTTATGTTTTTATGTGTGATTAAATTAGAATACAAACAAAAACAGAGCCATCACTATGGCCTTAAAAATATACAAAATAATAATGTCTTAAAAATTATAGTGTTTGATAAAAACGGTAATATTGCCCATTGAGGCGAGGTTGAATATAATAAATAACGAAACTCGAATTTCCACAAAAACATTCAAAACATATGCCAAAAAATCGCCATTCCACCTAATATATATACTTCATATAAAAATGGAAAACTTGGTATGATGCTCTTTCTAATTTAATGAAAGCTTTTTTTTGATAGCGAGAAACAGGGGCGGTGTCCCCAACAAATATGGCTAGATCTATAGCTTAAATTAAAATGTACAAAGAAATTAAGAAGTATAATGTTCCTCTCTGAAGTCGGGATATGTTTGGTTAGGTAATTTAAACTTTGATTTAGAGGGTAATTTTGAGGAGTAAGCCATCTTTGATTCTAAATTGGTTTAATTTCTTTCTGGGATGCGTCGCTGTATCCTTCGTTTAGGCGTCCATCACAACTGAGCAATTCACGACTTTTCAGATTGCAGGCAGTTAAAGTATAATTCCAAAGTCCGTATATGTAAAAATTTGTACATTAGCCAATGGAATAATAATGCGTTTGATTTTTTACTTACGATTCGGAGTGGTAAGAGCAGGGGTTCCATTGAAACATTAATATGACAAATTAGATGTTGTTAAATCTGAAAAAAAGATTAGATGAAATTAAAGCACAAATGGTTGTGTTATTAGAACCCAACTCACGAGTTTACCAAAGTTTAAGGACAGAGGTCGTTTGCTTACCCATGATTCATGTTAACGGGCAGATAGGGTTTGGTCATGGTCTCTTCTGCTGGGCCAGTGGATAGTGTTGGGGATAGTTGGGGTGCACAGACGCCACAGCCATGTGAAGCGGGATGAGTGAGTCAAGGGGGCAGTTCAACGCAACGCGAGAGCCTGGCACGATTCATATAGGTTTGCCTAGGTTTGGCTGTAAGCCCGCGAATGTGTGTGTCCGTTCAATGCTGAACGATAAGATACTCGTGGTGTTATCGACATTATCATTATCTCTTCGACTAATGGCGAACCATTTGCCGAGAGCGCCACTCAAAAGCCCCCGAATGGAGCCCCGGGTGGAGAGAGTGCCTTCGACTGGTGGGAGGATCGTATTTGCCAGCATGGAGCCAGTACTACCAATTATCGGAGAGTGCGATGCACCAATTATGCACCTATTTGGGGATATCTGAAAGTTGGCAAGACCCTGGCCTGGGCGTGGTGTGGATATGGGTTTGGGTATGGGTATGCGAGTGGGTATGGTTGTGGATATGGGTTTGGGTATGGGTATGCCTGTGGGTATGGCTGTGGCTACGGTCATGTATGTGCGAACATGCATGAAAGGTCCGTCAGGCTGGCCTATGTGTATGGCGGCTTTGTTAGTGGTATCGGTATCAACAATTCTTCGACAGTTTGCCGATAGATCAGTTTGCGCGTGGAAGGTCTCTCTTTCCCTCATTCAGTGTATAACAATATACCCCGTTATGTGTTTGTGATTCACATCGGTCGTATATATTTAATTTTGCCAACAAAGTTTGCCTTTTGTTTACCTGTTTGTTTCTCAAGGACCTCGAGTGCAATCAAAGCACAATTTAGCTGCTAGGAATATGGTATGTTGACCCATCGACCGGCAAAATTATACTTTCATTTATTTTAACATTTTCTCATACAGCGAATAATTTGCATAATTTAATGATAAAAAATATGGAAAAAAATTAATTTTGTATTTCTTTGTTTGCAAATATATTTTAGAATCAATTAAAATATGAATGGGATTAGCGAAATCCTGCATATCTGTGTTTTCGCAACAATAATCAATAGCATTTGTACCGAGAAAAAGCCGTTTCACTTGTGAAATCAAGGCAATAAAGCGATCTTTGATAGTGCCTGGCCTCAGGCCCTAATTGTGCTGTGATAAATGTGGGGAAAGAGATACGCTTCTCTGGCCTCTCCGAAGCTCTTCGAAATCCGGATTTGTTATCGGGGTTTATGGACTGCAAAATGACGAGGAGATGTTCGTTTATAGGGAAAACTACCTTGATCTTGGTGACGAAAGGATAGACACTGGTATCGATAGCGGTCCAAATAGGGTACGGCATGACCGAAGCCGAACCCAACCCTTTTGGAAACATGCGATGGCCGTAGTTTTTTCCAATTGTCTCTCAAATGTACTCCCCCACCGTCGATTAGTCAGCTGAGGGTTAACCCAGCACTGGGTTACTTCCATAATCTTATCAGTTTTTTGGCAGTTTACATATAGCGGATAGATATGGGTGGGTTTCGCGGCAAGAGCGTATCTTTACGGGCTCCAAAGAGCACTGCGGGATCGCGACTGAGGACATCGGATTATAGGCCCGGTTCTCTTTAACGGACATCAGTTTGGGAGGTTCGGTTGAGAGACGGAAGGTCTGTCATTGTGCACCACGTTCGCTGCAAGCAAAAAACACAAAATATAGCTTTTGTTTTTCTATTATGCGTTCATGGAAGAAATAAAGCTACGCTGAGCCCAACGGCAGATAACCGACGTGTAACGCAGAATGATAACACTTGTACACTCTCGTAACGTTTTGACTTCAACACTTTGAACGGCCATTGAGCCACTCGATTGAACTCTCTTTTGCCACCAGATAGAGCTGGTCTATCTTGGGCAAGAGTGTGCGAGTTTCGACTATTGAATCTGATCGGCGGAACCTTACTCATCGAACTCTGACGAAGAGATTACCTGGCTGGTCGGCTATTGGTTTCTAAAAAGTTATTCCCGATAAGCAACGCGACGAATTCGTGGTAGCGAAGTATTTTAGAGAGATACAGAAATCGGTCAGTTTTAGTTATGCTATTGTTTCGAGTCGGTGCCGCAGTGTCCCCCATTCTATCGGTTATATGAACTCGGAAAGGCCTTACCCCAGTGGGATTCGCAGTGGATAAAATCAAGGGAGCATCATGGGCAAGTTCTTCGGAAGTCTGCTTCGCAAAAGGGTGAGTTTTGAATCGGCATTCGATTGTATAACTCCAGCAGGAACCACAATGAGCATTTGTTGGGGCATAATGTCACAGCAAAAACATGCCTTCTTGAGTGTAATTTTGTGAGTGTGAATTTATGTGTATGAGATAAGTATAAAGTATAAGGGAACGTCGTTTATCGATATGCGAGTAAAAATAGATGGCGGAAGGTAGATAAATTTCATAATCTTAAAACACTAGCACACACTTCTTTGGTTGGCTTAAAATCCCAGGTTTCCAATTAGAGCCTGCTAATATTTTTTTTCGTTTCCCTAATCTCCCTGAGTAATGTTTATTTTTCCATAAGTTTTCGGCTCTCCAGTCGAAATTGATTGATACAGAGCCACTGCCATTTAATGACTCATGCTAGAATAGTTATTGTAGCCAAACTTTTGATTTAGAACACAAGTTCTCATAATGAGTTAAACTGCACTTAGTTAAAAAGAAAACAAAGCAAGGAAAATAAAAGGGCTGCGCTTTTGTTGATTTCTTACTATTTTCAACTTCTATGTTAACAAATTCATGAAAAAAAGGTATTTGTTTTAGATGGTTGTTATATTTTAATTAATTAAATTAAATTTTAGAAAATTTAAATAATGTAAAAAAAACATTGTATGCATCGAAAGAAAATTTTTGAAAACATTAATCTTTTGACGCCAATGAACGGAGATTTTCACATAATATAAAGTATCGAGTTTATTTCTAGTTGTTAACTAAATCTAGATTTTTATTCATTTTATTGTTATCCTAAATTTCGCTAAAAATAAAGAAAAACCCCCGGACATTCTTAACGAGTTCCATTGCACGCCAGTGATGTCAACAACTTCATTTATTGGCATGTTTATGTGAGTAGATAGCTAGACCCAATCTTTTTGTTTTTTCTTTTTTACCAGAACCATGGAAAATACAGTTCCCGGGAAAAAGAGCTAGAGAGTTGGGCTTAATATATTCCTATTCCTTTCAAAATCGGATTACCAAGGGTTAGGCAACAGAAATCAGTCATTCTAAATGCTACGCACTTTTGTAGGTCAGTCTATGCAGTACCAGCATACAACCTTCAGAATTGATTTTTTTATGGATATGAAAAATAAAAGATAAGATCTGGTTAACTACACTAGTGCTTTTTTGCTACAATTGCAATAAGAATAAGAAGCTCCCTTTGTAGGTTTACTGGAGAGTCTCAGCAGACATTGCTGCCCAAAAACATAATCAATCACCGTTCGTGTACAAAAAGTCAGAGCTAGTTCTTAAACAATTGTTTTTTATGAGTTTTGGTTTGGGACGTCATCGAATTGACAACATGGCAAATTAACTATGCACTTTGAACCTATTAGTTCCAGAGCGTCTCCGTGTGTCGGTACATCGCAAACTCGCACTGCGACGTCAATAAGTTTCGAGCTTTTATTGCCCGAAGCTGCGGCGCTACGACCCATACCGATTTTGAAGCTGTGAATGGGATCGGATCGGAATAGGTATGGGAATGCAGACCAAGTTCTCAGTGTGAGAACGGCTTTTCAGTGGCGCACATCACGCGGTTCCCTCGCGATCTGGTGTTGTTGTTTGTGGGTTCCGTGCTTTCACTTGTGGAAGCCGGACAGTGAAGGATATTGACTAGTTCGCCAAGAGTGTACATCAGAACCAGCCAGGGCCTATTAGGGCTCCTCTTACGTGACAAAGAGTCGAACACAATTAGATAATGTCTATGCAAATATGTACCACGCACTGACACACAGTGCCCACAAATCTATGTGTGTCTGCCGTAATGGTCGTGGACGTGCATCATAGAACTGTTCAATTGAAGTGTTAAAATTGCCCACTTAACATCGTTTTAAGGTTGTACATTTAAGTGTGCTGAGAAAAAGTCGATAAATATACATATGTCGGTATAGGCATTAGGGCGGACCTTATTTGTTAGACACATTTAGATCGCACTTATAACTTATAACCGTCTTAGCCATTGTCTTTTGGCCCCTCAAAAATTGATATTCAATGTAATATTCATGTTTATCCTTCCTTGCTCGCACAAAAATTGGTATTCCTATCGGCTAAAAAAAAATACATTTTTCAACTAGGTTATCTGATTTCAAAAAAAAAGAAAAGGTCCGCTCTATTGTGCATTCGTTATTGGGTCGACAAACATACAATAATTAACAACAGCCAAGAAGCAGTAACAGCATAAACAAGCAGGTGTTTAAAAGTGTGATTGCGCCAAACGCGAAAACGAGAATCGCCGCTAAAGTTTCCATTGTCCGGAAAAATCAGCTTCCGGCCCGGGTCCGTAGAAAGTTTTTAAGAGATGACCTGGCGCGACAGTGGTGATACCGCTACCAAATGCGTCAGTTCTAGAATGATGAACAATGAATTTCTTTGGCCATGACCATCTGAGCGGGTTTCGACGCATTGATCGGACTGGATCCTATCGCAGGCCCGCGTGGGCTGACCAAGAATCGTTCCATCTGAAGGACGCACTATTATGGAACCGGCATAAGGTGTGTGGGTCAACTACTTGGAGTCAAGGTTTCAAATTTACAAAAGAACCGTGTGGTCGAGTGCCCCGACTTGATCAACCTCGTTACAAAAAACAATAGTTATATTTTTTGAAAAATTGTATATGTTAACACAATTGATTTTTTGCCAAAGGCACCTTTGTTTGAAGGGAAAGGTTAAACAACATTGTTTGAAGGGAAAATTCGTTTTCTTCAAACAACAAAATTAAATTTATTAAATTATTTAATTTTTTTGAAGAAAACGCCTTAAAACCAAGAATATTTGTATATTTCGTGAACTAGCTTACTGCTACCTTTGGCGCAGCTAAAACATAAAACCTAAAATATGAATTTCAAACTGAATTACCAAACCCAAGAATTAAAAAAAAAAGCATTTAAAACTAGAAATAATAAAAATGCTTTATTTATTAAAAAGGTATACTTGTTTAGACAATATATACTTTTGTTTGAAACAAGAAAGAAGAAATAAACGAAAAAAAACGAAAATTATTGTTTCTACCTTGAAATACTCCAGATTTAAATAATGAATTTGAAATACGGAAACGGCAACCTTTTTTAAATTGTAAATAATTTATTTTTTTATTATTAAGTTTTTTTTTAAGTTGTAATATATAACAATATTAAGAAATGATGAAACAAGAAACTAATAATTTTCGCCCAGTCTAGGAAGTGCTTAAAGAGAGTTTTCTACCAAAACATTTCTTGAGCTTTGAATAAGTTTCTCTCGACTTAATAAACTTATTTCTTTAAAAAAAAAAAAGTTTTACTATTTTTAAAAGTATTTTCACCTCTCAAAACTAGAAAAATGTTTTTGTATGTTTAGAGATACCTCTTTTTATACCCTTGCAGAGGGTATTAAATTTTCAGTCAGAAGTTTGCAACGCAGTGAAGGAGACGTTTCCGACCCTATAAAGTATATATATTCTTGATCAGCATCACTAGTAGAGTCGATCTAGCCATGTCCGTCTGTCCGTCTGTCCGTCCGTCTGTCCGTCTGTCCGTCCGTTTATATGCAAACTAGTCTCTCAGTTTTAAAGCTATCTGCATGAAACTTTCCCAAAAGTTGTCTTTCTATTGCATGTAGTATATAGGTCGGAACGAGCCGGATCGGACGACTATAGCATATAGCTCCCATAGGAACAATCGGAAAAAGAATTTAAAATAAAATTATAACTTTGCTGTTTTTTAATTTTTTGTTTAGTTCTTCGACATATAGCAATGGTTAAATATTTCAGAATTATGTTTAAAATTTCATCAAAATCGGACGACTATAGCATATAGCTCCCATAGGAACAATCGGAAAAATAATTGAAAAAAATTATAACTTTGCTGTTTTTTAATTTTTTTTTTAGTTCTTCGACATATAGCAATGGTTAAATATTTCAGAATTATGGTTTGAATTTCATCAAAATCGGACGACTATATCATATAGCTCCCATACAAATAATACAAATATATAAAAGAACAATCAAATAATTAAGCTGCAAATCGTCATAGCTTCAATGTTTTTAAACATATACGCAAGTAAATCATAATTTTAATGTTTTCAAAAATATTTAATTCTTGCGATAGCTGCAAGGGTATATGAACTTCGGCTTGCCGAAGTTTGCTTTCTTTCTTGTTTAATTTTTTGTTTATTCCTTCGACATTTAGAAATGGTTAATTATTTTCGATTTACGGTTTAAATTATATAAAAATCGGACGACTATAGCATATAGCTCCCATAGGAACAATCGGAAAAATAAATGAAAAGGTATAACTTTTCTGTTTTTTAATTTTTTGTTCAGTTCTTCGACATATAGCAAAGGTTAAATATTTCAGAATTATGGTTTAGATTTTATCAAAATCGGACGTCTATATCATATAGCTTCCATAGAAATAATAAAAATATATAAAATAACTTTTAAATAATTGAGCTGCTAATCATCATAGCTTCAATGTTTTTAAACATATACGCAGTAAATCATAATTTTAATGTTTTCAAAAATGTTAAATTCTTGCAATAGCTGCAAGGGTATATGAACTTCGGCTTGCCGAAGTTTGCTTTCTTTCTTGTTTTTGAGTGAAGTCACCATCATAGAAATTATCGTGTCAAAATGGTTATGCTCTGTTTTTGCTTAATATGATATATTTAAGCCATGGGTTCAAATAACTATATTTCAAAGCAGTCAAACTTACCCTTTCGTTCGGTTATACGCAATAAATTCGCGCAGTGCACGCTGATTGCTTTAAAAAATCTTGCCAATCACTTCAAATCAAATTTCTGTACATCAGCAAGTTAGCTCTGCTCTGGTTTGTTTTCGGTTCAAGATCAACAGAATAGTTCAATATCGTGTTTAATGAATGTTTCTGCTCTTAACTGCAGGTCTCTTTTTATGGAAATTCATTGAAATTTTCCTATTATCCATGCCATTTTAGGTTAAATAGTCTTGTCGATCAGAAAACTATTTCATAGATACTAATGATATTTTGGGTTTTAGTGGTATTCCGAACTTACATAAATTTATAGCTTTAATTGTTTTTTTTTTGTTATTGGTAATATCAATAGTCCCTGACTTATTTGTTTCATGGTAGACAAACAAGAACGCATTGGTGAAATAAAAAAATAAAAAAAGGGCAACACTTCAGTTTTTGTAAAAACGGACAGCCACATACTTTGTAATAAAAAGCGTTATAAGTGATAATAAATATTTGTGAATCGGACTATTTATATGTAGTGTTGTTATAAATACCCCCTGTCCAATTGTGGGAGCTTACTCATTGCCAATACCAGGAACAAATAGTCTGATAATACCTTTCTTATCTCCATGGGTACCATTTGTTGTTCGATCCATGTTTTCCAATGGGCTCACGTTCACCTTTTTGATATTCAATTCTTTTTCAGGGCTCCAGAGTTAGTACAATAAATGATTGGCTTCAAATACAAATTGGAGGCCCTGAGGATGTCAAGAAAAAAAGACCAAAAGGCCAAAATCGCATCAAGTCGACGAAATACACATTGATCACATTCCTGCCACAAAATCTATTGGAACAATTTCGCAGAATTGCGAATTTCTACTTCCTGGTGATGACAATAATATCCCTCTTAATAGGTGAGCAAATAAATATAATTAAAATTATTTATATTATATAATTTTATTGAATCTCCTTCAACTTATTAAGCACATTGCTCTTTTAACACAAAGCTCAAATTTCTATTTATGTTTAGATAGTCCTGTGTCTCCGATGACCTCGCTTCTACCCCTCGTTTTTGTAATTGCCGTCACCGCCGCCAAGCAGGGATATGAAGATATCCTGCGATACAGGACTGACAACGTGGTCAATTCCTCACCAGGTGGGAAAATAGTACTCTTGAAAAAATATCAATCCTTTCTTTTCATGAACTTTTTAAAGTTTTCGCCATAATTACTCTAAAATAAAAAAAATGTATATGGCCAATAAATAATGTGCCTTATTTTTAAAGATATTACAAGTTTGTCCAGAAAAATATAATTTGAACAAAACGATTTTGGCTTACTAACAAATCGTTCAGCCTAATGGTAAAATCTTTTTATAAATATTTATTGCTGGCTCCTAGGAATTGGCAAATTGAGATAAGTTGTACTATAGATAATTTAATGTTTTCTCGAGAGGTAAGAAACGGCATTTGTTTAAGCAAAATTAAGCATAGATAAATTAAACTAATTATTGCAGCTATTATAAAATGAAATATTCATTTATACGTCGCTTGTCGGTTTTTCGCTCAATTTTTCGATTGTTACTATGGCATCTAATTATTTCGTTGTTAGCGAAACTAAATCCGTAATTCTGAAGTAAACACTTTCTTATTTGTCTTCATTTGTGTTTCGATTGTTCCCATGAGAGCCATATGGTATAGTCGTCCGACTTGTGTACTACCTGCAAATATAAATAAGACTTTCGGACAGACATACGGACGGACGGCCATGGAAAGATATAATACATATATACTTCATAGGGTCGGAAATGTCTCCTTCACTGAATTGCAAACTTTCGACTGAAATAATAACATTTTCTGCCAGGGCTTAAAAATATTTTTTTCCTTGAAGCGGGCAATCTGAGGTTCGATTTATGCATTTTTTTTAAATGTTCACTTTTTGTTAAAACAGCTATCGTTGTCAGAGAGGGAAAAGTATCAAAAATATAATAGTTTACTGAAAACTGGAAATATACTTTTTGTGAGCGTACTTTCCTAACTAGTTCGCTTTCTGTCAAATCAGTTACGGTCATCAGGGACGGAAAGGAGGCCATAGTCAAATCGGAGGACGTCTGCTGCGGAGACCTCATCGTCGTCGAGCGGGACTGCGACGTGCCGTGCGATCTGGTGTTGCTGCGGTCCACGGATCCGCACGGGAAGTGCTTCATCACCACGGCGAACCTGGACGGCGAGTCCAACCTGAAGACCCTGATGGTGCCGCGCGACCTGCCCACCGTGGACCTGCCGGAGATGCACAAGCTGGGCATGATCGAGTGCGAGAGTCCGACCACCGACCTCTACAGCTTCAACGGCAAGATCGAGCTGAAGGGCGGCGAGGGACGGGTGCTGCCCCTGTCCGCCGAAAATGTGCTGCTGCGCGGGTCGCGGGTGAAGAACACGGAGTGCGTCATCGGGTGCGCCGTCTACACGGGCATGATCTCCAAGCTGCAGCTGAACAGTCGCCTCACCCGCAACAAGAACGCCTCCAGCGAGATCTACATCAACCGCTTCCTGATCGTCATCCTCGTCGCCCTGATCGCGATTGTCACTTTGCTCTACTTCCTGAAGAGGTAAGCTGACCTTCTTTCCCTTTAGGGTTTCTAAAGCTCTAAAAGATCCCCCAGTGGTACACTTAAAATGGGTGTTCTAAATATGCCCATGATTTTTTGTGACGCAGAGAAGCATTTTCTACCATTCTTAAGCAGTGTTTTGAGCTTCTGAGTATCAGTTTCCTATCCAATAGTCACATCCCTACCAAAGTAGGAGCCGATCTTTCCTTGAAGCATTAATTTATTTAATGAAGACAATTTTATAGAAATCGGCCATCCGTAGTTTATATACCCTTGCAGCTATTCCAAAAATTAAATATGCTTTAAACAACAATATTCCGATTTTGATGCCTATAACTTAACAACAGTTAAGCTATGGCGATTTTCCACTAAATTATGGCAGGTCATTTTTTTCCGTTTTTAACAAAACCATTGCCATTAAACCATTACTATGTATCGAAGTACACCCATGATTATATTAATAAGTACGTTCGACTTTTATGGGTTACAAAACTGTTAATTCGTATACTTTTAATTAATTAATATTATACTATATTATGTTATATATTTTTATACCCTTTTAATAATATCCTGTAAAAGCGGCAAGATCATATTCTGAATATTTTTGAATGGCAGCGTTGTAAAGAGTGGCCGCTCGCAGGTATATACCTCTCCATCGAAAACATTAATCGAGATTTTCTCGAAACGACATTTAACAATACTGCTGCCATCGACTTGAAATTAGAATTAAGTTTTCAAAACAGGTATTTTTTTTATATATTTTTAAAACTGTAGGTCATTGTATAGGAAAAAAAATTCAACAAAGTTTTTTTTTTGAATTTTTGTTGTTTCAGCTACTTGTTTGGCCCGAAGTTGGGGTACTTTTTTTTTGACACTTTCAAAGACTGCACATAGCTCCGTTGTTTTGTAAAATTTTTGTAAAAAAAATAATAAAATATATCTGAAAATGTAGCCAACATTCCATCAAGTAATTTTTCATGGGCTACCCTAAAAGCCGTAATCTCTTAGTGTGAGCCAAGTTGGCAAAATCACAGATCATCGGCAACTTTTAAAACTTGGTCCCATAAGTAATTCCCGATAAAAGTTTCACTGTGCTATGTAAGTTCAAAAAGAAGTCAAGAGAGATTTAGGGTTTTATGATCTCCTCCAAAATGTGTACAATAAAAGTTACAACCATCTCACCTCTTTTCGCAGATACAACGAGCTGTTTGTGATACCCAAGCTCACATATCTGGGCGATGCGACGGACAGCTACAGCGTGAAGCAGTTCCTGCAGGACTACCTGTCCTTCCTGATCCTGTTCAACTACCTGATACCCATCTCCCTGTACGTGACCATCGAGCTGCAGCGCGTGATCGGCAGCTGGTTCATGGAGTGGGACCTGGAGCTCTACGAGAAGGATACCGACCAGCCCTGCGTGGTGAACACGTCGAATCTGAACGAGGAGTTGGGCCAGATCAACATACTCTTCTCGGACAAGACGGGCACGCTGACCAAGAACGAGATGAACTTTCAGCAGTGCTCGATAGACGGCAGCAAGTTCCTCTTCAGGAAGACGCGTCTGGAGGATGAGGAGACCAAGGCCCTCTTGGACATAAACAAGTTTAGTGTAAGCGCATAGTCCCTAGTTAGCTATAGCCTTGTCCTAAGCCCGTCTTAAATTTTGTCCCACCTTGCAGGCGAGCCAGCGCATCTTCTTCCAGGCCCTGTCCATATGCCACACAGTCCAGGTGGCTTCCGGGTCGCTGGAAGAAGCTGATGCGGGCAACGCCAAGAAGGAGTTGCTGGCCGCCGCCAAGACGGGTCCGCCGGAGATGTACTCCATCTCGGACATCACCGAGGAGAGCCACAACTCTAGTCAGCAGAGCGAGCTCAATGTGAGCCACACCATCGAGAGCTCGCTATCCGGCCACCCCAATGGCGCCAATTCGACGGCCGTTTCGTCCGATGTCAATCCGCTGTTGGTCTCCAGCGACAGCTACGGCATAGAGCGTCGCAAGCGCCCGGTGGTGGTCAAGAGGAGTCCCAACTTTGCGCGCTCCAATCGGATGCACACTGCTCCGGGTATCGAGACGAACGGCAGCCAGACGCTTGACCCGAACGGGGCCTCCAGCGGGATGGATCCAATGCAATCTGCCCCCAACTATCGGCCCATTTCACTGCAATTTCGCCGCTCTACCTCAGAGAAGGATCTGCCCCAGTCGTGGGAGGCCCAAAACGGGCAGGCCCCTGGCCACCGGAGGGCCCACTCCTATGGGGCGCCCAACGCCTACCTCTCCAACCCGATTTCGGCCAGCACCCCGCCCACCAGCGTCCTCTTCCGGTCCACGAGCACAGCCTCCCGCGAGTCCTACGCCGCGCCCACCTTCACCAGACAGCCCACCTTTCTGGTGCGCGCCGAGTCGCAGCGCAGGAAGAATGAGATACGCGATTTCATATTGTAAGTCAACGGGAGGGTATTTGAAAATCCCCAAGTTGTTCCGGTATATTTTCAAATTCAGGGGTACCCCAGGTTGGTTGAAAAGTCTTTTCAAGTTTTAAGAATGGTTGCTATACCAGTAACTCGTAGAGTGAAGTGCTTTATTGGATTTGTCGAAAAGTATGTAACAGGTAGAAAAAGGGTTTCCAACCTCGTTTCACTTTGTGTTTATCCGATCCATATCTATTGACCCACTAACCATTTTCCCAATCCAACCATTAGTTTTAAAGTTTTTAAAAAACGGAGTTCATATATAAGAGAGAGAGAGGGAGAGAGAGAGAGAGAGCAAATGAACTGTTATCAGGCGTTGAGGGTGCTGATCGCTCTTAGCTTGTAGATGGTAGTTCGGCAGATGGCGCCACTTCCTTCTGTTTTCAGGGGCATATTTATTTTGAAATTGGTAAGCCTAGTGGCACTCGACTATAGCGTTCCTGCTTTTGAACAATTTTTTATAGACTTATCTTTGGTTGGTTTTGTAACATTTACTTAAATTTTACTTTAACTTTCGGTTACAATTTTGTAAAAAGAAACCTAATACGTTGACTGTTTTTCGACAAGACAGCAGAACATTCAAAAGATTTTTGCAATTTAAATATCTGTTTTTACATTTGGGGTTTGTAACTTGGTCTGCGCCATCTATCGTCTCTATAGGAAAATGGGAAATTGTTTCTCAATTCGCACTGTTAACAGAGTTAGTTTGTTGTTTTTGCTCCGTTGGACCATCGTACCAGTAGGCAATATATTTAACAACAGGGTACTTAGTTCTTAATATCGATATAAAGCGTAAATCGCCTTTTTCAGCACCTTGGACTATCAGGCTTCCAGTCCGGACGAGAAGGCTTTGGTGGAGGCTTGTGCTAATTTGGGCATGGTCTATACGGGCGACGACGACGAAACCCTCCGAGTGCGCATTGTGCCACCCCACATGGACTACAAGCGACCGTTCGCGAAGCCCAAGGAGGAGACCTTCAAGCGCCTCCACGTCCTGGAGTTTACCTCGGATCGCAAGCGCATGAGCGTCATTGTCCGGGACACGGAGGGCAGGAAGTGGATCTACACCAAGGGCGCCGAGAGCTACGTCTTCCCACTGTGCGCCAACAGCTCGGCGCAGCTGGTCTCCAAGACGGACGGCCACATCAGCGAATTCGCTCGCCTCGGCCTCCGCACATTGGCCATTGCCCGACGCCTGATTGCGGAGGAGGAGTACCAGGACTTCCTCATCGAACTGGGCCAGGCCAACAGCTCTCTTGAAAATCGCAAGCAGCTCAGCGAGGAGTGCTACTCGAAGATCGAAAGCAGTGAGTATTGCGGCACATACTGTTCAACAGGTTTCGTGTGACTTGTACTTTTCAAAAAGCGCCTCACTGCTTTTCTCAATGTCATGTTTAATCTAACATGGACTTATTTGCGATTTTGAAACCTAAATGGACTGAAAACACTTATCTGCAGGCAATAGTTTAGTTAGTATTTGTTGGTCGGAAAATCGAAATGAGGAAGAAAATGTTGCCTACTTTCCATTTTTAGGCTTAGCGCTCCGAATTCCCTTCCGGTCCAGACCCTTTAAGGACTAAACAGTTGACTTCATGTCAGCTTTCCCACACAGATTACAAGCCTTACTTCACTAGAACTTTTTATGTTCTTTAGTGTGGTCCATATTTGTATGAAAATTCTAAGGGCTTACTCTAATCCACTTAAAGTATGGGCTTTGCTGCATTGAAGGCACATTGGATTAAAAGTATGTCATACAAACTGTTGCCTTTTATTAACATATTTGTTCTAACTTTGATCGTATGGGTAAATTTTACAAAAACCTTGAGATCAAGTTTTGGCTTTCAAGAGCATTTTTTGCACACCACAATCTACCACTGTAAACGGTTAGAGTATAATGTATTTTTTTCACCACCCCTATCAATATGCTCTCGATTTCTATTCCCCCAAAGATCTTGACCTGCTGGGAGCGACAGCTGTGGAGGACGCACTGCAGGACGACGTGGCGGATACGTTGGTTTCCCTGCAGGCTGCCGGCATTAAGATCTGGGTGCTGACGGGCGACAAGGTGGAGACGGCCCTGAACATAGCCCTGTCCTGCGGCCACATTCCGCCCGACGCGAAGAAGTACTTCATCATCGACTGCAAGAACCGGGAGGAGATGCTGCTGCACCTGAACGCCCTGGACAGGGAGATCATTTTCGGGATCGGCCAGGAGTGCGCCCTGCTGATCGACGGCAAGAGCCTGGGCGTGGCCCTGGCGGAGGCCAGCTCCGAGTTCCGGGACGTGGCCGTCAAGTGCACGGCCGTGCTGTGCTGCCGCCTGAGTCCGCTGCAGAAGAGCGAGGTGGTGTCGCTGATCAAGTCCTCCAACGAGAACTACAACACGGCCTCCATCGGCGACGGGGCCAACGACGTGTCCATGATCCAGGAGGCCCACGTGGGCATCGGGATCATGGGACGCGAGGGCAGGCAGGCGGCGCGATGCGCGGACTTCGCCTTCGCCAAGTTCTGCATGCTGAAGCGGCTGCTCCTCGTCCACGGCCACTACCACAGTGTCCGACTGTCCCTGCTGGTCCTGTACTTCTTCTACAAGAACATCGTCTTCATGGGCATCATGTTCCTGTTCCAGTTCCACACCCTGTTCTCCTCGTCCTCCGTCTACGACTCGCTCTTCCTCACCTTGTACAATGTGATATACACCTCGCTGCCCATCCTGTTCATAGCCATCTCTGAGAAGCCGTACACCGAGGAGAAGCTGATGAGGTGAGTGCCAACTTGAGGGGTCTAGACTGGGTCTGAAATAGGGCCCTTCATGAATCAGTGGTTGAGAAATATTCTGTTGCGAAACCTTTTCACAGAATGTTTCTTTTTTCCAAAGACTTGAATCCCTTGGGATTAATCATAATGTTGATTTATCCGGGGCTCCAGTCTCAAAACCTGTTCTTAGATTCCAACTGTTAAGATTGGTTTAGATTGGGTCAAAATAGATACCTTTGTGCATCAGTGCTCAAGAAATTTTATCAAATGACTCGAATCATCTAACTTAGAATGATTCGAATGACTCGCATCGTCTAACCAAGTGTCCTTCATCTGACTCGATCTCCAAAGTGACTTACATAGAAGGTTATAAAAATCATTTTGTGCTTCAAATTGAAATATTTTTAAATGCTGTACAAATTCGAATTCTATTCCAATTCCTTCAAGACGTTTTGAAACATACTTATTCATGCAGGGCTCAAATTTTAAATTCCGCCTTTGATTACTATTATTTAACTGTATTGCGCGTTTTATCCTTCCAAATCAACAGAACGCCGCAGCTTTACAAAAAGAACACGGACAACAAGCAGCTTCACTGGCCGTACTTCCTCATGTGGGTGTTGTTCGCCATCTACCACGCAGTCATCATTTTCTACTTCGCCTTCTGCCTCTTCTCCTACAACAACGTCATCCTGAACTACGGCCAGACGGTGGCGTTCTCCTGCTTCGGAACGCTGCTTATCTGGACAGTGGTGGTCGTGGTGAACCTGAAGCTTTGGCTGGAATCGATGTACCTGTCCTTCTGGTACATATTCACAATCGTCATTTCCATTCTGGGCTTTATAATCACGACGGTTATCTACAACGTCATCAATCTGTGAGTGGATGTGCATGGGGAAACGATGGGTCAACTTCAATAAGAAATTCCTTTGCAGGGACTACGACACGGACATCTACTGGGCCTACAACAACCTTTTGGCCTCTCTGCCGGTCTGGCTGTGGATCCTGTTGACCTCCGTGGCCTGCCTGGTGCCCGACTACACCATCCGAATGCTGCAACGGGCGCTCAACATCAAGAGTTTCAGTATTTTCCCTGGAAAACAACGAAAACTTAAAATGCGTGAAAAGCTCGAGGACACATACTTGTAACCGACGCTAGGCCATAGTTTTTATACCCCTTATTTATTTATTAGCTTTATGTATTTTTTTTTGTTAGATAAAAAACATTTCGTTGAAAAATGATTATTGTTTCTTTAAAAAAATCAAAAATCAGAGGCACATATTACGACCCATACTGGAAGGTCTATAAATCTCTGAAGGTTTCGGTTAGGTTCTAAATCTATCCGAAAAATCCTTCGATATCACAAATTTGTAGAGTACTTCGATGGTTCTCTGAGTTAATTTGCTTTAATATGACGATCAATTTTTTCAAAGCTCACTTTTAGGTTGAAATTGACGAGGCTGTCGTAACTTCGAGCTATGATTTTAGTTTGAAGTTGGTTTGAAAAGATTTTTGTAAAAATAAGAGCTGTTCTATAAACCCAAAAAGTCAAGGCCAAACGTTGTTTGAAACATGTTTGATTTGGAGACATCTTTTTCAGACGATGGGGCTAGTTCGATTGACAAAAAACCTCTCTGGACAAACCCCTGCTTATGCTTCTGCCCTGGAGTAATAAACAAACTAAAAAAACGAGAAAGTACACTTGGGTTGATTTTTGCAACTATAAGATAACTCTGTTCATCGATTTAATTAAGAAACAAGAAAGAAAGCAACATACCCTTGCATTATGGTATTACAAAAAATGAATAATCTATTAAGCAACTTTATTTTGATTTGATGTTGTATATCCCTAAAAGGAATAAGGCTATGTCAAATATCCGCAGAATTTTTCGAAAGTTCCAATGGCAGCTATATGACATCGTTGCCCGATTTGAATAATATTAAAACCAGAATTATAAAATAGAAAACGATCTCGAAGTTTAGCGAAGCTATAATTTGTTAGAATTTATTTTTTCGATTGTTCCCATCGGAGTTATATGATAAAGTTGTCCCATCCGGCCCGTTCCGAGTTATTACTAACTACATTAACAACCAGCTAGCCTTATAACTGAGGATTGAACTTATAATACCCTCTGCAGGGGTATAACAAGCCCCACAGCGCCGTCTGGCGGTTGGGTATATTAATCTTAAAACGCTTCCAAAATAATGGTTCAACATGGAAAATTTGTTGTGATTTGATAGACTTTCTTTAAATAAATATATTACAGCCAAAAATACCGCGTATTGTTAAGAATTCACCATTGCCACTTTGGCAATAAATTGTGCTGAGTATGCATTACTAGAATCTGCATGCTTAACTGTCTAGCTCTTAGAGTTTCCGAGATTCTGATGTTCAAATGGACCGAAGGACATGACAAGATCGACCTGGTGATTAGTCTTGATCAAGAATATAAAAAGTAAAAAAAAAAAATCAAGGACTAAAAGGTATTTTTAATATGTTTTATCAATTTTTTTTAATGCGAAACAGACGAATTTATTAAATAATGTAAGCAGAGATGCCAGGTATAGTTATAGTTCACACCTTATTTACACGGAAAAAAATGAAATGGTCATTGCATAAACACAGCATGTTGTTTCTGACAGGATTGGGCATGTAGATTCGAAACTGAAAAGTTTCCATCACACCAGAGATTTTATTTTAATTCATCAAAATATGCAATATTTGGCATTGTGCCAATTGTTTCCATTTGAGCTGTATGACTACTTCTTCGATTTTAATGAAACTACAACCCAATTCTAAAATATTAATTAAGCAATTAATATATCTCAGAGATTATATGCATATAATTTTATTATTGTTCTATTGGAGCTACGACCTTATCATAAAGCTCGATAATGTCGTAGCTCTAAAAAATATTAAATATCTTCAAGAATTTAAAACAAGAAAGGTAACTAAATTCGACAAGTCACAGTTTATATACCCTTGCAGCTATTTCAAAAATAAAACATCTTTAAACAAGAAAGAAAGCAAACTTCGGCAAGCCGAAGTTCATATACCCTTGCAGCTATCGCAAGAATTAAATATTTTTGAAAACATTAAAATTATGATTTACTTGCGTATATGTTTAAAAACATTGAAGCTATGACGATTTGCAGCTTAATTATTTGATTGTTCTTTTATATATTTTTATTATTTGTATGGGAGCTATATGATATAGTCGTCCGATTTTGATGAAATTTTAACCATAATTCTGAAATATTTAACCATTGCTATATGTCGAAGAACTAAAAAAAAAATTAAAAAACAGCAAAGTTATAATTTTTTCAATTATTTTTCCGATTGTTCCTATGGGAGATATATGCTATAGTCGTCCGATTTCGATGAAATTTTAACCATAATTCTGAAGTATTTAACCATTGCTATATGTCGAAGAACTAAACAAAAAATTAAAAAACAGCAAAGTTATAATTTTTTTCAATTATTTTTCCGATTGTTCCTATGGAAGCTATATGCTATAGTCGTGCGATTTTGATGAAATTTTAACCATAATTCTGAAATATTTAACCATTGCTTTATGTCGAAGGACTAAACAAAAAATTAAAAAACAGCAAAGTTATATTTTTTTTCAATTGTTTTTCCGATTGTTCCTATGGGAGCTATATGCTATAGTCGTCCGATTTTGATGAAATTTAAACCATAATTCTGAATTATTTAACCATTGCTATATGTCGAAGAACTAAACAAAAAATTAAAAAACAGAAAAGTAATAATTTTTTTTCATTTATTTTTCCGATTGTTCCTATGGGAGCTATATGCTATAGTCGTCCGATTTTGATGAAATTTAAACCGTAAATCGGAAATATTTAACCATTACTAAATGTCGAAGAACTAAACAAAAAATTAAAAAACAGCAAAGTTATAATTTTTTTTCATTTATTTTTCCGATTGTTCCTATGGGAGCTATATGCTATAGTCGTCCGATCCGGCTCGTTCCGACTTATATACTAACTGCAATAGAAAGACAGCTTTTGGGAAAGTTTCATGCAGATAGCTTTAAAACTGAGAGACTAGTTTGCATATAAACGGACGGACAGACGGACAGACGGACGGACAGACGGACATGGCTAGATCGACTCGCCTAGTGATGCTGATCAAGAATATATATACTTTATAGGGTCGGAAACGTCTCCTTCACTGCGTTGCAAACTTCTGACTGAAATTATAATACCCTCTGCAAGGGTATAAAAATCTAAATTTCGATCTATATGAGTACCCATTAAAACCCGTTCAAGGCAATTATTCGATCTTTCTATGATTTCAATAACATTAAAAGCAAAATTCTGAATTTTTTAACCACTTCTATGTCCAATCAAATTACAAAAAAATTTAAAATTAGAGAAGTTACAAATTTGTTTTCAATTATTATTTTGAATATTCCGATTGTTTCCATGGGAGTTATATGATATAGTCGACCGATTTTGATCATATTTAAACAGTAGTTCCAAAATAATAAACTAACACTAAACATCGAAAAACTATAAAAAAAAAATTTCAAAACAGCAAAGTTAATAAGAATTTTTTTAAATTTTTTTCCCGATCGTTCGTATGTGAGCAATATGCTATAGTCGTCCGATCCAGCTAGATCCGATTTATATACTACCTGCAACAGGAAAAGAGCTTTTGGAAAAGTTGTATGCATTTGGCTTTAAAACTGAGAGACTAGTTTGCGTAGAAATGGACGGACAGATCTAGAATCAAGATCAAGATCGGAAGAGTCTCCTTTACTGCGTTGCAAACTTCAGACTGAAACTATATACCCTCTGCAGTTCAAAGTATAACCTTGAAGTTCAGTTGAGCAAATGAAATCCAAGCGCGACCTCTGGCTTCCTACGGTTTAACAAAGTGTAGGACTGTGTAGGGCACCTGTTAAGTCGACCAGAACCTCTGTCACACCCACTCCAGCCCCTTCGTAATGTAATCTGCTTGATGGCGTCGTTCCCATTTGCATTGCTGGGGCAATGCCGAAAGTTCTGATTGTGGGGCCGTTTTCAATGATAATGATAATGATAATGATAGTGATATCTCGCATTCCGCACATATACACGACCAGATATGACTCTTTCGCAGGTACATAGGCATACAGGCATTCGCAGCAAGTGCTGGCAGTTTGAGAACGATTTTAGTGGGCATTTTGTAGCTGAGTTTTATGGTCGACGAAGAGTTCGCTAAGTTAGTGGTCAATACAATTCGCCTGCTCCCGCTGCTCGAAACACCAATGAACGTGCTATCAGTTCGAGGCTGTCGCATAGATTGGACGCCCTAATGCTAACACATGTGTAAACCTATATCTAAACCACGTCCGTGTGCCCAGTGAGTGCCTCTGTGTGCCGCGTATGACTATGCCGAAGGAAACTCTTAATCATTTTCGACTGAGTTTGGTGTGCATAGGGCGGTTCTCGCAGCGCCAGAGTATTTTGTGATCACAAGTTTCAATATTTTTTGCTTTACATCCATCCCAACCATGTCTCTGACCAAGGCGTCGTCGAGGAAGGACTTGGCGGAACAGAATCTGAGCCCAGGACAGCCCAAGTCCACGACCATAGTCAAGTATGAGAAGTCCTCGTGCCTCTTCTGCAACGAATGGTTTGATGCCCAGACATTCACGGTTATACTCGCCACACTTTCCAGTCCTCCTTTGATTACAATTACATTACTCCCTTTGGATGCGACTGCAGGAACACTTGATCCACTGCGGCCAGGTGTTGGAGGAGTGTCCGAACGGCTGCCAGGCCTTCATCCCGCGAATCCGCATGCGCTCCCACCTCAAGGAGTGTCCCAGGACCAATCTGCAGAGCCTCAACGGCCAGAGAATGAGTGTCAGCATGGACCGCCTCGATCGACAGTCCGACCAGCGCCTCCTTGTGATTGAACAGGACGTGGGCACCATCCGGTCCGTCCTCAACGAAGAGATCCGCCAGCGTCTGCACCTCATCACCGACGTGGGCAACATCCGCAAGCAGAACCAAGTCGTCGAGGATTGGACCCGCGACACCGACAAGGCGCTCGACGACCTCCGCCGCCAGATGGACGAGGAGGCATCTCAGAGGGCCTTCCTGACCGAACAGAACCAGCTCGATTTCCAATACTGCTGCAACGTTACACAGGTGGGTTTGCAAAATGCACACCCAAGCAATCGATCTGGGTTTCCTTAGTCGTAAGCTACTTTTTGTTTTGAGCGATCAATATCTATCTACACCCGAAAATGACCCAATTCAACAGTTATGAAGAAAATCTGTTTAATATGGTCAATGACGTCGGAGGTAGCAGATAAATATACCTCACCGCCAGATAGATGGCGCTGCATGTTTTTTGTACTCTGCCACAATTAACGTAGTAACGAACATGGCCAGTTATATTTTACCACTTCCATATCAAAAACTTCCATGAGAACTCAGCTCGTATAAAGAGTAAATTCATGGGTGCACCTGAACTCTATGACAACCACAAGGCAAACTAAAAGCCATAGTTAGGTTCCTAAAACATATCACTGTTATATTAATGACTGCAACAATATTAAAAATATTATACATTTTTTTCTTTGGATACTCCCAAAAAGCTAGAGGAATATCGATTTTTTTCGTAAACGGAACTGTGGGTATTACAAAAAAAATCGAATCAATGTCGAAGTTTCTGAAAACTGAAAGATTTAATTTACATTTGAAAGCCACCTAAGAATTGCTTTTACGAATTTATAAAACATATGATATAAGGTACAACTGATTAATTTTGTTATATATATGTTTCGGTCATATTAACATTTATTAACCGAACTTAGCTTTCTTTCCTGAACAATATAGTTTCATACAATTTAGTCTAGCCAAACACTATGATACCAATTTTTGCTTGCAATTATTTATAAATTTGGGCATGTCAAAATCAATTTCTGTTCTCTTAACACAGTCCTTAAAGGAGCAAGTCGAGTCAAGACTGGACGAGGCTCAAAAGATGGTAAACCAGCTCTCAGCGGACGTGACCTTGCACCAGAATCAGCTTAACGACAACATCCTCAAGCTGGAGGAGCTGATCTTTGAGAACGAAAGGCTTAATAGGTGAGTAGTGGTAAGCACCAGTGGCATTTGCTAAAGCAAACCGTAGGGAGAAGTTCTTTCAGATCGAGGAGTTCCTCCAGCAGATCAATGAGGACATCAAAACAAGGCTGGCCAATAGTGACTACGTCCTTTCGAAGCAGGCAACACTGGACTACGAGGTCAAGAACGTTAAAAGCATCGTGTGTGAGACTGAGGAGCGTTGCGACAAATTGGACCGCGCCTTGCACCAGACCATGCAAAACCTGTCGGACCTGGAGACCCAAATGGCCATGCAGCAGCGCATTGCTAGCGTGCAGAACATAAGAGGTACGGGAAGGAAGGGTCTGTGTTCGAAGAGGTTTCTGTGACCCCTCGCATCTCCAAAGTGTACATATTCTTGTCCGTTTGTCTGTCCGTCCGCATGAACGCTGAGATCTTGGAAACTATATTTCAAAATTTGGCCACACCCACGACAACGCCCATATCGCGAACCTCTTTCAGGTCACTCTGAGACCCGGCCATTATATGTTTATTCGAAAATGTTCCCAGTCGAACCAATTATTTTCAAAGTGTTTAGGAAAGATTTAATGTTGCACAATGGAAAAAAAACGAAGTTCGTATATTTGAAAGAGCGGATGAGAGCTGCTGTGTAGAACCCGCTTGTTTTCTGGGGGCATATTTTATTTGGAATTGGTTAGCTGAGTAACGGCTATCTACATAGCCGAATTAGTGTTCCTTCTTATCTCTTAATTTTGTTCATGGCTTTTCAGGGCACCTGATTTGGCGCATCAAGGACTATTCCAAGAAACTAGATGAATCGAAGCAGTACGACACCATTCTGCACAGCGCCATGTTCTCCAACAAAGCATTTAGCTATGCCCTTCGGGTAAGAGCCCTCACTCTACAGTTCTTGCATTGGTATCAGCTTTTGTATCTCCCGCCAACAGCTGGATATATACTTGAACGGCAAGGGCACCTGGAAGGGGCGTAATATGATCGCCTGCCTCAACGTTTTATCTGGGGAGTACGATCCCCTTTTGGCCTGGCCCTGTCGTCTGCAGGCCGAGATCATTATCCGGGATCAGTGCTCGAATGCGGCGGAAGCGGAGGACTATGTTAAAACCATCTTTGTGCGCAAGAAGAGCGACGACTTTCTGCAGAGCAACCAGTACTTCCATATACCCCACAAGGTCATAACCAGCCGAAACTATCTCCGCAACGATTCTATGTTTATCGAGGTTCGAGTTCTCAAATAATTCACTTTAAACTAGTAACTAGACCATGGAACCCCATACCGACAAGGAAAACTTCCGCTGATGTATTGCACACATATATAATAATTTATTCAGTTGAGAGCGAACTAGAAGTAAAAAAACATGCTCACAAACTCGAGTACGTATAGTGTATAATTGAATACAACGATTTGGTTCAATATGCATATATTTCTGTGTATGTTTGAGTTGTAAATGCTTTGAAGTAGACAATAAAGTTACATTGAGGCACTCTTGAGACGAAATCGGTAGGTAGAAAGCTTTTTCTAATTGTTCTGGGTAGTTTTTATTGCAGCACTTATGTGGCCACTCAATAAAACATTAGCATTATCCTCTTTTTTCAAAACAAAAAGCGAGTTCATCGAGAGGAACTTCATAATGTTTGTCTTTCCAAGCGCGTTGGAATACAAAGGTCTTTCAATAAGTCAAATACAACACTTGCTATTCGTAGGCTTTAGTTAAAAGAGGTATCAAATTGTCAAAGGGACACGGGATGGCGAGTCCCATTCAGGTAATATTTGTGAGCACTTAAGGTCTACAAAGTGGGTCATAATTGTTTGGCTCCCTTGGCGTGTATGTTGTGTGTATGTAAATTGTCGAATACGAATACATAGAATGTATAATTAGCATAATTGATTTCAAGTTCGATTTGGTTTGAATAATAATAATGAAGATTCTTGAGATGGGCGCTGTTCACCCACCAAAGAGTAGGCGAGAGCGTAGAGTGGATCCTTATTGCTTGGCTCCCTTGGCGTGTATGTTGTACGTATGTAAGCGATGATTTCAAGTTCGATTCAATCATTGATTGATGAAGATTCTTAGGATGATCGCTGTTCACCCACGAGGGCGTAAAGAGCATGCTTGTAGTGGCCCGAAGTGTCGCCCTGAAAGATACATTCGACAATATTCGTAAGGAATCTGGAAATGATTTCTTTTCATACCTTGATCCAGCTCTTCAAGGACTTGCCGTACAGGCGCTCAAATGCCACCTTTATGTCCGTCATATCGATCTGTAAATCAGAGTTCTATTAGATCCGAACCCAGATCGGGCAAGCATATGCATTCCATTACCTCGGACCGCGTGATGATGACACGGATCAACTGGGTGTCGTTGGTGCCGATTCCAGCCATGGACTTGTGCAAGCGCGAAGCGAAGTACTCGGCCTTGTTGGTGACACACCTGTAAATGGCAATCAGGCCCTCCATAACGTCGCCAGAGAACTCCTTTTTGATGGCCTTCTCCAGCGAGTGACCAGTCATGCCCTCATACTCTTGGAATATCTGCAAAAAAGATCAAATCCTGTTAGGTCTAATGGTTTTTATACCCTTGCAGAGGGTATTATAATTTCAGTCAGAAGTTTGCAACGCAGTGAAGGAGACATCTCCGACCCTATAAAGTATATATATTCTTGATCGGCATCACTATGCGAGTCGATCTAGCCATGCCCGTCTGTCCGTCCATCTGTCCGTCCGTTTCTACGCAAACTAGTCTCTCAGTTTTAAAGCTATCTGCATGAAACTTTCCCAAAAGTTGTCTTTCTATTGCAGGTAGTATATAAGTCGGAACGAGCCGGATCGGACGACTATAGCATATAGCTCCCATAGGAACAATCGAAAAAATAAATACAAAAAAATTATAACTTTGCTGTTTTTTAATTTTTTTTAGTTCTTCGACTTACAGTAATGGTTAAACATTTCAGAATTTCGGTTTAAATTTCATTAAAATCGGACGACTATATCATAAAGTTTCCTTGGGAACAATCGCAAAAAAATACAAAAAAAATTATAACTTTGCTGTTTTTAAACTTTTTCTATTAGTTCTTCGACTTACAGTAATGGTTAAATACTTCAGAATTTCGGTTTAAATTTCATCAAAATCGGACGACTATATCATATAGCTCCCATAGGAACAATACAAATATATAAAATAACTATCAAATAATTGAGCTGCAAATCATCATAGCTGCAATGTTTTTCAGCAATGTATTTCAAAAGTATTTAATTCATGCAATAGCTGCAAGGGTATATGAACTTCGGCTTGCCGAAGTTTGCTTTCTTTCTTGTTATGACTAAGATTGTGCTTAAATTTTAATCAACACATGCATTTTGTACGTATGTATATAACATAGTTGTTTTTAGAATTTGTTATACCGTCTTTACCTAAATTTACGTCAAATGATGGATTTTACATTTTTCCGAAAAGAAACAAACAGCAAACAACAAACATATATCCGTTTTCTCCTTATGCATACTGCTCTAGTTCAAAAATAAGCTTAATTTCATTGTGCATTCCAAGAGTATATATTTGCACCAAAATTCCAGATTTAACTGTTCAGTTGCTGAAATCGGCCGGTTTAAAATTCGGTTGTTAAATCCTATTCTTTAAGAATGGTTTCTTATTTTTTTAAAAATTTTTTTTTAACACGAGAAGATACAAAAACTCAACCATTTGAGGCATTCATAAGATCGGAATCAAGTTTCGATTAGAATAAATTTGTTGGGATAAAAAAAAGATGACTAAATCGGTAATATTCGACACATTATTACTAACATATCCAACAGAACTTACAACATATTATTCAAGCAAGCTCTCCGAAAAGTACGCATATACGTGATTTATGCAAGTGATAGCCCAAAACTTTAATTCCTTCATTGTACACGCAAATAGCCTATATCATAAAAAGTTCTTATAGCTAGTTTTGTATCTTTTTAATTGACCCACACGGAAACTATGGCTGCGATTAAGATTTCCAAATTGTCCTAACTTACACAATAGATGGTGCCTTCTGCCGAACTTTGTTAACAGTTCTTTCGCTTCTCTTCCGCTCTCTTTCGCTCTCTTCCGCTCTCCCTAATATACTTGTATGAACTCCATTTCTCAACTATGCAGTGACGTCATAACCCATACTTTCGCGATTTGTGGGCGTGGTCAAGTTTTGAAATATTCTTGGTCTGCGTGAACATGGAAAACTAAGACCTCTGGCTTTTATAGTTGAGATGTCGAGGTTCATATGGACTGACCGACAGACGGACATGGCTAAATCGAATCGACTACTCTGTTTAGGGGGGAGACGCTTCCTTCTACCTGTTACATACTTTTCAGCAAATACCATACATATACCCATTACTCAAGCGTTGTTCCCTAGCTCTTTTTAATATATAAAAGATACTTTGTTGCTTCAGTTTTAGTCAGTGAGTCTCTGCTGCTTCTTACCATTTTTAACTGCTGGTAGTTCCTCTGGCAGAGTATCATGTTGAACATACTCTCGTCGGTGCCGACGCGCAGCTCGCCAGCCTTCAGCAGCTCCCTGGCGTCGTTCTTGGCCGCGTTGGGGTCCACGCGTCCACTCTCGTCCCGTGCCGCCGTGCACAAGGAGGTGAGCAGCCGCTTGAAGTTGCCCGAGGTCTCCGACTTCAGTTCGGACTCCAGGTGGGCGCCGTAAACTGCGTGATCCGATAGCCAGAAAAATGTGCATTAGCATCTGCGAGGGAAGACCCCCAATGGTTCTACCTACGTCGTAAGTACTGGTTTTTGATCGTGTAGATCTCCCCGTTGGACAGGGTGCAGAGGATCTCGATGAGAACCTCCTCGTCGGTGCCAATGCCGGCCATGGCGTCGTTCAGCTCGGCGCAGTAGTAGTCCACAATGGGACGCAGCAGGCCGACCAGCAGCTTCTGGAAGTTGCCGCTCGTCTCCGACTTGATGTCCTCGATGAGGTCCTTGCCGAAGTGCGTCTTGTACTGGCGCTGGATCTCCTGGCGCTGCTCATTGCTCCGATGGCAAATGATGTTGATCAGGGCGTTTTCGTCCGTGCCGAAACCCTTCATGGCCTTGCGCAAGTCATGCGCATCCTTAACGGGATCGAAGCCCTGCGCGGGCACCACAGTGGGAGTTCCCTGGAAAAGTCAATCGGAGATCTATGATTATGGGTGCGGGCATGGTGGTTTTCTATGGCGATGAATAAATTCACTGTTAAGCCCGCCCGGGTTGAATCTAGTGAGGGGCTGTCCATACATAACGTCATCACGTTTTTCCCAATTCTTGAGATTCTTCTTCTCTTCTTTTAAAATTGCTTTTTTTTGTAACAATTCAAAAAATTCATTATATGAGATAATTACGTAATCGTCTTCTGATATTCCTCCCTCCCCCCCTATAATCAAACATAATCACCTTTTCTGATGACGTTATGTATGGACGGCCCTTAAAATAACACACGTTGTATTTGACATTTGTTGTTAACATGTTCAACGTGAACAAAAAAAGTGAAAAAAAAAAAAATATTGACATGTGTATCCAAAATAGCAGAATATACCTGTGTTATTTCATTATATGTATTATAGAACATAGTACATAATATATCCTATGTGTCAGTCAAAAAATTGTTATTAGCCCCCTAATTGTTGACTTTCGAGTAGCAAAAAAGAATTGTGTATCTGTAATATACATACTACATTACAGACGTAATACATTTTGTAAAAGACCGCAAATTCTTAAGCAGGAGAAATCAACGGTTGCCAAACCATTTGTATTTGTGTATTTGTCAAATTTAATAGATAAAGTAATCGAAATTATGGTGTAATCATCACATGAGAGCAATGAGCAATGTTAATTGCATTTTTTTCGACACACAATGTTATCAACATTGCTATTTTTGACACACATTCCAATAATTTCAGTTTTTCATGGATTCAACATTTGTTTCTATTTACGAAGCCTGCAATCTACTTGAAATATGTGGGTGCAGTCGGCGTGGTCAGAATTGAATGACCAACCTCTCTGTGAGCTGGGAGTGACCGATGCGCGTGCCCCTGACCATTCCCATGTCCCTGTCCATGCCCATAGCCCTCTCCATGTCCATGTCCATGTCCATGTCCATGTCCATGTCCAAGTCCTTGTCCGTGTCCCTGTCCGTGTCCTTGTCCGTAGCCGTAGGCTGCATCGTATCCGGCTGTCATGGCTGGGGTGTACGATCCACGATCCGTGGGATAGGGGCTGTTTGAAGCTGGTTGCGGCTGATAATGATGAGTTTGGGGGGCGAATTGAGCCGGGTACGGACTTGAGGTGGGGTAAGGTGGGTACGATGGGGCGGCCTGGTAGGGTGCTGACATGGGTGGATAGGGAGCAGGATACTGCTGCTGGTGGTGGTCTATTTGGGACGATGGATGGGAGTGGGGGTGTGGCTGGGGGGGCGGTGGGTATGGCGAGTTCTGCTGCATCGGTGGCACCCAACCAGCTCCAAAGGGCGCTCGTGGTGGTTCGTTAGTGGAGGAAGGGGGGTGCGATGGCATTCCGGAACCCTACAAAAGTCAAAAAATGTACATTTCAATTTGACTCTACTGCGCTTAATATTCGCGGGGCTCACGAACAAAATATCAACAAATGTGCACCAATTACTACTATTTTATATTTAAAACTTAAAAATCATTCAAGAAAATAATTATTTTAAGGAATCAACATAAATTTTACACGCCCAAAAAAAAATAAGAATACAAGTTTTGAGCTATAATTAATATAATTTTATCCCTTTAATTTTAGTCAAAATGTAAAAACTCAAGAATAACACAAAGAATGCAACCTTAAATACAAGGTTTTTCAATACTAATAAACTGACAATATATGGATTGTGTTTTAAAAATAAAACAATGTTTGATATGATGAATGATGTTTCTAAGACTAAAATCTAGAGGAAGAATTTGTAACTTACGAAAGGGTACATTATGAGGGAAATTCTATATATTGTGGGGGTTTCCGATGATTGAGATTCAGTACTGGAAAAAGCAAAACAGGAACAAGTGGGTTTCATTAAAACAAAATATTTACATGGTACAAAAGTACAAAGCTATAGTTTTAGTATTTAACCAGTTGTTATCAACATTATTCTTATTAAGATACCATACACCTGTACATATATTTGGATCTACTGCAAATACATATATACATATGTACATATGGTCCTGACAAAGTTCTTTGACAATATAGCAAAGATTGATGCTAATAGAATGTAGAAGAGGAGCACAAAATGTGTGTGGGTAAGAAATCACACGCACACATGAATAAAACCGTTGTTGGCTTATTTGGTCTTTTCTACAGTGACTATTGACAAAATTAAAAAAGTTTAAAATGGGGTGTGGAATATGCTGTTTGCACATAAAGCTTGCCTAAGTGCCAGCAGTCATAGTTTCAAAAGACACGTGCATTTAAAAAAAAAAACGTGATCCTAACACTTAGTCTGAAGCACCTGAAGCACACTAAGAAAAAAACTTAATTCTTTGAACTATCTGAATCATATCTGTTTACCACATCATTCTAATTTAGGGCTATTGCGAGACTATACAGTGGGCAAAAATAGTTTACGAGCAGTTTCGTATAAAGGTGCAAAGTGTACTTAAACTTGTTTTGCCCACTGTATATGTTTCAAGGATTTTTTAATTTTACAATATATACATATCCATAGATTTACAAACTATTGAGATCTTAAACTAATTTTAGTAATCGACTTATATAATTTTTTTTATTTAAATACTATATACGTGGTTTGTTTTTATATTGGTACTATTCAATTTTGCGACGAACATAAAAAAGTATGTTGACTATATCGTTTCTGTTCTAGGTGTCATAGAAATCCTTTTGGCAGAAACCCCGTTGAAATTTGGATACACATACATACGTACATACATATGTTCGTTCCAACCAATTTTAACCGAAGATATTTCCGAGTCCTCCGTTTTATAAGAGCAATATATATTTTTTTTCCTTCAAATATTTAATATTATTTCTACGCTTAAAAATGAGGTTTCCAAATTGGGTCGCACTTTTAGTTTTCTTGCCCAATTTATTTGTTTTAAGTTTTATACCCTTGCAGAAATTATTGCATAGTTCAACGTTTGTGAAGCGGTGAAGGCAACATTAACCATATAAGATATATATATTCTTGAACGGCATCACTGGGAGAGTTGATATGTATGTATGTGTGTACCACGCCCGTCTGTTTCTGTGCCGTTTTCGAGGTTAGTTTAAATGTGAGATACTTGAAACTTTCGCAATCGTCCTTTTTAGGTGTGTACTTAGATTAAGCTTAAGTTAAAATTTAATGAATTTAAGTCAGGTAACGTGTAAGCACTATATGTACATATGTATATGTTTACATAAACATAGGCACCAGACATTTACCCTAAATTAGGGCAGGGTTTAGGGTAATAACTTTGTGTCATGCGTGAAACATTAATGCGTTTGCTGTATATTTTGTGTCTGGACACATAGGCGCCAGCGACCCAATGGAAACAGCAAAAACAGTTTAAGTAAAAATGAATTTGTAAATATTAAAAAACTTGCAAAGCTTGAATTCAGACTAATGGAGCGAACATTTGGCACCTAAAGGCCCCTAAATCTTGAATAATGTTGTGGGTCTAGATGCCATAGTAGTATTATACCTAATATATGTTATATGTTATTACAAACCACAACAGCCCTATCTCAAGAAGCAAGCAAAATACTTTATGCAGTACAAAAAATCTTATTGAAACTCAGCTTGACTCACAATCTCAATATCCGCAACGACAATGCAACATTTTGCGATAACTTCAACAACGGCTATGAATTTTGCTCCCGATTATTAACTGATTGAACAAAAAAGAACTCTGCACACTTCCAGATGATTCATCTTAAACTCAAACCCACGTCAACAAAGTTTCCCGGGCGCTGATTTGTACATATGTACATATATATGTACGTACAGGTTGGCCCGTATACAAATATTGGCAAACGATTTTCGCGTGATCTGTATGTTTAAGCATGATCCAATAAATACACAGAGCCACTTATGTATAGACATAATATATATGTACATGGTATGCAATATATGTTTGTGAAAGCATGACTCAATAAATACACAGAGCCACCTATGTACATACATTTGTAACCGTTCAAACCGTTACAGTTTTGTTGTGCCAAGCTAAAAATTTTAAAATAAATAAAATTTTATAATTTACAAATTTTGAATTAAAATAAAATAATGTCTTTTGTGAGTTATCGTTGTCAAATCAGGGTGCATGTGTTTTGGGATCCGATTGCGAATAAATACATAGGTCAAAGTTGGCAACAAGACCGATTTCTTGGAAAATAACGGTAAGAACCGCTATTTTTAGTTTTTGTCAATTTTAACTAAAACCAACAAATATTTTGAACAAAAGTGGTAGATCTAGTTAAATTAAATTAAATTAAATTACATTTTATGTTCAGTTTGCTTGATAGTTTCGGTTTTAGTAAACAACAGCAAAGAACAGGACCCCTAAACACATGGATCCTGAAATTTGCAATCTATTGTTAATCCTGAAAAAAATTTGATTTGATTGCACAAAACACTTATGTATATGCATTTATATATATATACATATGTAAATAAAGGCATGACTCAAAAAACGGATCACGTGATCTACAAACGCTTGACTCACACAATACGAGGTAAATATTTCGAAATTAAAAGAATTGGGCGAGTCACTCTTTTTTAAAGATAAACTACTATTCTTACCTATTCTTATTCCTAAAAACAATATACAAGGTAGGGCCAAAAGTACTTAAAAGCGTTACCGCGAAGTTTTTTTAAAGAGAAGGTCAACTCAGTAATATTCCACAGTATTTATGTATATATTTAATGTTGGGCTAGGTAAAGATTACACTTTTAAACGTGTGCAGTTTGCTGTCAAATGGTTTCGAAGAAGTAAATAAAGGGCATATTAGAAAAAATGTTTTGTTTACATATAAAATAAAATTATTTATATCCACTAAGCTAAGCTGAATAATGTATAATATTGCTTATTCTTATTTCGGAAGGAAACCATTGTTTTAAAGGCCTTTGCGTTTTTCAAGTAGGATCCATGTATGTATGTATTTAAACATATTTACATGCCAATGTATGGGCTCTTATAAAACCGCCACCGGCAATTTCACAATGTCTTAGATAGAAAGAAAGATAGTAATTATTTATCGCAAGGTCGCAAATCAACAGATGGGCTTAGTGCACACAGATGCAGCACATGAACACGTGTCAGTGCCGGTGTATGTATGTGTGGGTGCACTTTTAGATACAATTGTATCTGAAGATACCAGAAGAATGTTTCTATTGATGTTAGTCGTACGATATGTATTGCTTAGTAGATACACACACAAGCACACGAACAAGTGGATATGCTTTAAAATTATCTTTAAGTCATATCCAAAAATTTAAGGACCACGTAGTTTGTATAACACCAATAACAAGCAGAAACTCAACGTAGCAAACGGAAAAAGTCTTACATCTGAATACTTTTAATTACTTTAAGTATCTGAAAACGAGACGACTGCACTCTCCGTATACTTTGTAACGCCGAGGAGATTTTATCAACTGACCTGGCGCCAGGGCGGGACAACCACTTGTTGCACTAGAGCTGGGAAAAAATCGATGCCAAAATCGATACTATCGACTGTTTTGGTTTCGGGAAAACATCGAATTGTTTTAAAATAATCGATGTATCTGTGGAGTTTCTAACGGGGTCTGCACAGAGCCGTTTAAGAGGTTATATGCTGTTAGAAGGCCGGAAAAACGAATTTTTGAAAATTTTTTCTGAGAAAACAATTAAATTTAATTTATTATGTACACATATTTTGTTATATTTAAACTGTTTTTTAAATCTATGTATTGAGAAAAATATATACTTGGACATAAGCTACAGCTAATCTCCGGAAGATCCTATCAAAAATGGCGTTTTGCGGTCTTTGCACTAGATTCTCCGAAGTTTAAAAATCAAAGAGATGTCAAAGTATAGTCTAGCCTAGTAATTAATCGAAGGAATGAGTAAAAAAAGTTTTATAACAAAATAGCGGTTTCTTAACAAGAAATGTCGGTCTTAAAATGCTTATAGCCGGATTCCAATAGCGCAGAAAAATGCGCATTTATTTACACAGGGAATTCCATTCGAAAAAACTTAATTCTTTTTAGTAAGACCGAACTTTTCAGAGTTCACCCGAGTGCATGCGCAAGATCGAAGATGTTGAATATAAACGACGCCAGAGTTGAATTTGGTATTGGATTGGTGACAGATACGCGGCTTTTTCGCGTTTTTGTCGTTTTTCACTCCTCCAAATCCAACAACACCAAAAATTGACTTTTTTATTATTTTCGCCAGGGCCTGACAAACGTTCATCGAGAGTTCATCCCAGACGTCTGGCAACGCTTGCGCATTTCTAGTATTTTTTACGTCGATCTGAGTACCGACATGCAAAAAGGCACTGTCGAAAAGTGTTTGCCGGTTATCAGTCCTCTCACTCTCTCTCATAGGCGGCGAACGGTCGATCTGAGTACTAGGCTTTACGCCGGGGCGTACGTTGACCCAGAGAATTCTAAGTCGATCTGAGCACCGGGGTGAAAAACGGCACTGACGAAAAGTGTACGACGGTATTTGCCTCTCGCTTTCTCTCATAGCTGGCGTAGGGATTTCGTCTATCTTGGTACAAGGCTTTAATAACCATTTTGTTGGCGGGAAAATTGAATCTTGTTTTCTCTTCTTCTTCTTTTAAGGTTTGCTTAGTTCTAGTATTCCGATCAGGTGTTTTGCATCAGCGGGTGTCGCTTTAGCTTTTTCGCCACAACTCTTTTAGGCCCTTTTTCCACACAGTTCAACCAAAACGGTTGGAATTAGGTTCCGATTTGAGGTGATCTGAACAGCTGTGGCTGTGCCTGTGTCAAAACATAAGCAAAGTGGACACGTCAACCATCCTTGTTTATGTTTTGATGAACCATAGCAGTTGAGATCAGCTGAAATCGAAAGTTGCAATGTGGATGTGCTCAACATCGGCTTACTATCGCATAAATTAGTCCGTCAAAGCCCGTTAAATTTTAACGGCGGATTAAGTGGGACATTTTTAAAACGGCAAATCCTTATGGACCATCCTTTCAACGGATGGTGGAAGGCTGATGGATCTCTGTGGAAAGGGGCTATTAAGCGGCTTTGTGCAAAGGCTATAATGTGATGGTTGCGCACGATAGTGGAGCGATATTCCAAATATCGAGCAGATATCGAACAAGAATCACGACGTCTTTGTTGAATTCGGTATTTTTACGATTATAATAGCACGGTCCCACTGGCGGCCAGCTGTTTATTTTGAAATGAAAAGGATATTTCTATTGCCCATTCTTGATTGATGATGGGTTGAAATAAATAGAAACATATCCGCTCGAGATGTACTCAAGGATAGGTGTGAATAGCTTGGTATCAGTGGTGATTGTCGTCCTGGTGGCTGTCTATTGGTGCCGTCTTCCAGGAGGAAGTGGTGAGTTGCATGCAAAAAAAGAAGAGCCTTAGCCATAATACTTCAAAATGCTGCCCTATAAGGTACAAGGAAGGCGGCCAGGAGGCCGCCCAATCCGGAGGATCCACTGCCGCCCTCCAATTCACCGCTGCACCAGTTCTCCCGGGCGGCCATTTGCTCCGACAGCGATGTGTGCAGCCAGTCGGCCAGGAGAGTCCTGGAAAAGGGGGGCAGTGCCGTGGACGCGGCCCTGGCTGCCCTGCTTTGCAACGGACTCATCGGGATGCAGAGCATGGGCATCGGCGGCGGCATGGTGATGAATGTCTACCTGCACCAGGAGCGCAAGTCCTACAGCATCCTGGCTCGGGAAATAGCTCCACTTGGGCTGCGGGCGGAGAACTTCTCAGCCTTCCGCGACGAGCAGGAGTTCAAGCGGTCGGGCTGGTCTATCGCCGTGCCCGCCGAACTGGCCGGATACGCCGAGGCCCACCAGAGGTTCGGCCGACTACCTTGGCACGAGCTGGTGCGACCCACGCTGAAGCTGTGTCGCCGTGGCTACCAGCTGTACAAGCACCAGCACGATGCCCTTGTCCTCAACCAGGACATGGTCAAGGCCGATCCCGGCCTGCGGCGGATGTTTATCGACCCCCAGTCCGGGCAGTTCTGGCCCCTGGGCCACCTCATCCGGCCGTCGCCTCAATTGTGCAGCACCTATGATCGGCTGGCCAGGGAAGGACCCTACAGCTTCTACAACGGATCGATGGCCGACGACCTGCTGGCCGATCTGAAGGACCTGGGCAGCGCCATCGGCAGGGAAGACCTCAACCGGGCCCATGCCAAGATGAGCAGGGCGACTGTGATGCCGCTCGACGAGTATGATCTTCACCTCACTCCTCCGCCAGGAAGTGGCCACGTCCTGGGCTTCATAATGAACATTTTGCGCCAGTTCCGAGCAGACTTCGCACGGCACCGAACCATGGGTGTCCGGGAGATTCATCTGATGGTTGAGGCCATGAAGTTTGGCTTCGTCAAGCGCTGGCAGCTGGACGAAGCAGCCAACGAGGAGGTAAGCACGAGTCGGTTTCCCCTTTCGAATTCATGCACTTCAAAAGTGGCTTCCGAAAAATATTGTGTTATAGTTTGGAATCGATAATATAACTCTCTTTTTATACCCCTGTAGCGGGTAGTATATTTGCAGTCAGAAGTTTGCCACGCAGTGGCAAAGTATATATATTCTTGAACATCATCACTAGGAGAGTCGGTCCGTCTGTCCGACCGTTTCTACGCAATCTAGTCTCATATTTAAAGCTATCTGCCTATCGTTCCCAAAAGTGGCCTTCCTGTTGCAATTAGCGCATATGTCGGAACGAGCCGAATTGGATGACTATAGCATATAGCTCCCATAGGAACAATCGGAAAAAAATGATGATATAGTCATGGTTTCAATTTGGCTCAAATCGGACGACTCATTCATATAGCTTCCATCAGAATATTATAAAAAATAAATTTAACAAAATTTTGACTTCTCCATTTTTAACTTTTTCAAAATGTGTTTTGGATCAAAATTTCAGAAACTGTATCAAATTGCTGCCATAGGAACGATCAAAAAATGTAACTGAAAATCATCATAGCTGCAATGTTTTTAAACATATACGCATTTAAATTGAAATTCAGGTGTTTTAATGAATATTTAGTTTTTGCAGTAGCTGCAAGGGTATATAAACTTCGGCTTGCCTAAGTTTGATTTCTGGTTTTTTTCTAATTTGTATTCCAGAAAATATAATTTTTAGAATTTTTTTTGTAGTTGTCGTTACCGATTTTGTTAGTCTATTAATAAGGCATCCATTAAGTTAAATTTAAATTTTAAAAACAGTTTTGAAATTTTGTATTGATCACCGTCCACATAGTGACGAAAGCGGAAAGCGTGCGCAAGAAGACTACTGTATCTGACTTTTGTCGTATACTGGCTTTAATTACGCGTTTAACGACACCTCAGTCATCTCAATCCGATACTCCGTTCAAAAGATATTCAATAAAAAAAAATGTAACAGCATTTTTGGAATAAAAACTTGTATTCTTCTGTTGATTTGTTTTTGTGTATCAAATCGATGTTTTGTGATCCTGAACCAATTTTACTGTTCTGGGCACCTTCTAACAACCCGTTAGTTTTGCGGGGAAATGGCTAAAAAAGCTAGATTTCACAAGCCTACAACTTACAAACGATTAAAAATATATATCGTTAAAAAGGTATTTTTAAGTGCGTTTTACGTTTCCTTGCAATAATTTCTTCAAGTAAATATTTACGGAATTATTAGGGTTTTGTGTTTATGCTGTTTTGCATGCCCAGAAATCTATGCCAAGCCAATTTGATGATAAAATATTTTTATTATGTTTTAAGTAAAATGGAAAAGTAAGTAAGGGTATTGTAGACAAAATTATTTTTTTTATGATCAGGGGTCAGAACTGTGTTCTTCGGTTTTTTCGAAGTCCAAGTAATATGATTCATAAGAAATTTGATTTAGGTCTCTCGTAAAAATAAAAAACATCTAACAAACAAATTAAAAATTAATACTAGTTTTAAAAAAAAAATTGATAAAGATCTTAAAAAAAATTGGTAAATGGCTTTTTTTTAAGGGTGAAGCTATACATTATTTAAAGGATAACTAGTTTACATTAAAAAATTTTTAAAATAGTCAACAAATTAAATGTAAACATTTTTGAATTTAAATACTTGTAACTAAAATGGTAAAAATCTTATTTCTTACCTAGTAATACAATTTTGATTAATCCATCACATTTATGTTGAGCTATTTTTATAAATATAATGTGCGTTAAGGAATCAGCTCTGAATGATCAAAATATATACATAACTATAATTACTTATTATTTTTTGAAATTAATGATGGGAACAAATGTTAACATTTCGGATTTACACTCAATAATTTTTAATAACATGGAACAGCAAGACAGCAGAGATTTTTTGCGCCAGCTATTGGAATGTCCTTCGTTTAAAGAAATTAGACCATTTTTTGAACATAAACATGTGGTAAATTGGAAATGATTTAACTGCAACCAAAGACCCCCTATTCAGACAACAGATAATGCCATTGTTAATATATATATATATATTTCGAAAGACAGAAATTCCTCACCAAAAAATGTAGTAAAATTTAAAATGGCACTAATTGTTTATTCGATAATTTCTGTATAAAACAACCAACTGTCATATAAAAAACACTTCACAATGTGAGCTTCAATCTGCAAACAATAGATACAGTTTATCAAGTGCACTATGCCAAGAGGGAATCTTTTTTAAAGCCGACGACGCAACAATTAGTTAATCTTCTTCGTAACAGCACAGATCTTTATATATTATAATATTCTATGAGGAGAAGTAATGTTTGAGTTGTATGGTTAGTAGTTTGAAATAATTTTAGTTTGAGAAATGGTTCGTAAAGGAGGAGAAAAATACTTGGTTAGCAAAAATCCTCATACTGAACCCTCTTCGAGGGTGCACAGTGCCTGTGCAATGTCAGGTGGCCTTCAGCTAAGATCAAGAGTCTGGTATTTTGAATAGCCAAGTCATACAGGGATGACTCATGATCTTGGAATTGAGGAACTCTTTTATTATAACTACGTTTTTGAGCTTTTCAGTAAAAAACTGTAGTTTCAAACAAAAATTTCTGTTATCAAACAAAGTGACGATCGCAATTTCAACTCCAAAATCTTTTGATACAAAATTTTGTGACGGTTATAATTTACTTTGACAAAAAATGAACTTTTATTTATTTAATTTGTTTATAATTCCATCCTATAGCTGCCAAAGAAGCGATCATGATAAAATTTGTTAACATTAGTTGTTTTCGAAGAATTTTGCTTAAATCTTACATATTGTGTCGTATTTGGTTTTATTTCATATGGTTTAAAATCATTTCGGATATTTTGAGTACAATATATAAGCACACATTTTAAGTTAATTCCCTTTCGGGAGCCCCTGCGTAATATAATACATCCGTATAAAAATTGGACTCGCCAATGTTATATTTCTTTATTGTTGAAAATAATTTTCTACTCACTGTAAAATATATGATGCTCTGTTCTTGAAGACAAACTTTTGGCGATCCATACTTTTTATTCGCAAAGAAAATGGACCTTGTAAATTTTTTTTTTAATTCCTATTTTCTTCAACACTTTAAATGTATACCTACAGGTTTTTTTTTGATTTCCCCAACAGCTCCTGGCGCGTCTCATCAGCCACGAATTTGCGAACTCTGTAGCCCAGCAAATCGATGAATCGCAGACCTTCAACAGCTCTGAGCGTTATGGTGCTTCGTCTGGGATACGGATTCGGGATGAGCACGGCACTGCGCACACTTCAGTACTGTTTGAGAACGATGCCGTCTCTGTCACCAGCTCCATTAACTTCTAGTGAGCACCGCCCTCCTTTGTCTAACACTTGGAAACTAATCCATTTATCCCTGTAGTTTTGGTAGCGGACGCACGGGAAGGCGCACCGGTGTGATCTTCAACAACGCCATGTCGGACTTCTCCATGGAGCAGCTTAAGAACTACTTTGACCTGCCATTCGTCGCCGGCACAAATGGCGTAGCTCCCTCCGCCCGGCCCATGTCATCGATGAGTCCGGTCATCGTCACGAGTCGCTCCTCTGGCAAAGTTCGTCTGGTTGTGGGTGCTGCTGGCGGCACCAAAATAATCTCCTCCCTTTTCCCGCTGCTCGTGCGAATCCTGTGGCAGAACGCGCACATTAAGGAGGCCATCGATGCCAGTCGTATCCATCACCAAATGCTGCCCAACGTGCTGCTCTTCGAGTACGGACTGCTGCAGAGCCACGTAAAGAGCCTGCAGGACAAGGGACATCAGTGCGAGCGCTATGAACAGCGCGGCTCCGTCATCTGCGGCATTGCTCAGCAGAATGGCTCCATTTGGGTGAACTCTGACTTCCGCAAGCCAGGTGGAGTAAGTGGGTTTTGAGAAGGCCCAATTAGTGTCGTAAATTCTACAAAACTTGTATCTCAATCTCAATTTTAATAGCCAACCAGGTCACATATTAGTTCCTTTTAGTAGGCTTATTAAGGCGATAAAGTAGGTATAAATCGATTTTAGTCTTGCTTTTTTTCGCCTTGGTAAACCGTCTTCTCTCAAGCAATCACAATTTTGCAATGTTAGTTATATCAGAACTCTGAATAATTTACTACTTTTGTAATGAACAAGATATTGCTTTGAAAAATACGCTTTGCCAGCACAACGAAAAGTATATTTTTACAGTTGAAAATCTGATAAAATATTTAGTAGTGTTACTTTTTTTTAAACATTTAGTGTCATTTTTTTTATTCCTACGCACAAAATAATGAAATATTTTTGTCACTAATTATAGATTAGATATTCAATCTAACATTTTTTCAATGCTATTGAATTACTTACTTTTATTTATGCAAACTGAAAAACCATTCCTAAGGTTCGCAAGCACAACTCTGGAATATATACCAAAAATTTAAAAATTGAACCTAAAACGGTACTTTACACAGTATTATATAAAGTTTTTGATTTTCTATCAAAAATGCATGCCAATTAGAATGCCATTTCTTTTTCTGAAGGGTTTCCAAAGCAAACGTGCCGAGTAAAAATCCTTCACAGCTCAAAGATACTTGAATTTTGTAAGCGTTAATATTCCATTAAATATTTGCCTAAAATTAACGAAAAATTCCCAATGAATTGCTTAAAAATGTCCATCGTGCTGCTCAAGACTATAGCAAATTTGTTAGGAATAATGTTATTAGGCACAACAAACTTATTTAATAGTTTTTTGGACAATAGATGCAACAAATAGTTTGATTAACAATGCTCAACTAGAGGGATGAAACCAAATAATTTTGTAGAAGCCATAAGTTTATATGCAAATGTAAATAGTGGTATCATAAGTGAATGATTTATTTTAATTTTGTTATCGGTTACCAAAATAATTTAAGTAATATTAAAAATTAAAGTAATAGCCTAGCTGAAAACTCCCCTAAACAGACGTGTAAAAATGTTCCCTGTTGCGGTGGCAACAAATAAAGAGCGTTATGTATAAGAATGTTGAGACAATGCCCAGCGTGTTGAGGGCCATCGAGAAGGCCAGCAGATACTTCCACTCGGTCCGAAGCTCTCCGCATCCGTCGCTCCTGCAAAGGTGATTTCCGACGATTAACGGCTAACAAAGGTGCAAAGTGTTGTGCTACTAAACATACTGCGATGGCTCCTGGACAGGTGTAAGTGTAGCTGCTGGGGCTTCGGAGGACGATCCATCCTCGCCCGCCAGGAAGCAGGTGCAGTTGTGGTAGCTCAGGAGCGAGCTGGACGTCGGTCCGCACTCCCCGTCCGCCGATGAGGCCAGCTCCGCGAACTCGATCGCCGCGCAGACCAGAGCCAGGCAGCAGAAGATCAACGCCAAGGCGGTGAACACGTACGACTCGGCCAGCAGGACCTTGTAGCAGCTGTTTGGGGGTCTGTGGTCCGATTTGTGCTCCTTCCGCAGCAGAATGAGACCCGCGACACTGGCCAACAGGAGCTGAGGAGGTAAGTCAAGTCCATCAATGCAAATCATGATTTGGGTGCAAACATGAACTCAAAATCAAAACATTTTGAAATCGAACTTATTTAAATCTTTAAAGATTTTTCAACATTGGAATGAATTAAGAAAATACAGCTGATTTTGTGACGTGGCTTCCGAGCCATTATAAATGTTTCCTAAACTTTAAACGCGACTTTCTCGAAACTACTTTTTGTGACACGACAGAACCGATTCCTTTGAAATTTTCTATATATCTTGTTTGTAATACTCTCTATCGCGCCTGCCTCGGACTTGAACAAATTTTGATTATATGTATTTTTAAAATATTCGAAATTGGTTAAAAATCATGTTTTGTTTTCAATTCGACGCCGTTGTGTATTTTAAATTATTATTTTTTTTAATAGTCAACCCAATAACGGCATCTTTACTAATGAAGAATTTGTTTGATTTTGATTTTTTTCGGATCTCTTACAAGGGCTGAAAACATGTCAACCAGGACGCAATGTTTTTTTTTTGAGTTGAGTTTTTTTTTTGTGCTTTTTCAAGTCAATAAAAATCATATAAAAAAGGGTATATTTAAAATGTTTTACATTTCTTTGTTATCTTACTTGAAAAAATGCCTAAAATACAGGTTTTGCGGCATATCGAAGATTACAAAAATTCGTGAAACACACTCTCAATACACTACCGCATTATGAAAAAGGTGCCCCGCCTGAATCGTTGAATATGCCGTCAAAGTTATCACAATTTCACCGATCTTACAGTGCTTCAAACAATACAACTGTGAACAGAAAGCGAAAGATTTTCTAATACGCGTCAGAACTTTAGTGTTTAAGACATGTCAAAGGTTTTACTTGTAAGCTGTGTGTTTGTGCCATTGAACTTCCCCAATTCGAAATGTTTGTCTTAACATTATTTTTAAAACGTAGACGTTTTGTCTCTTGAATGCTCAACTACCATGTCAATCAGTACTCCAATGAACTAATTTGCTTCGAACTGACTCGACCCAGTAACTTACCGACAGACCACTCAGATACGGATTGATTAATATTGATGCGTTCGGCGCAAGAATTAGTATCCAAGCGGCGAGAGCAACGACCAGCAGGCCGACAGCTAATTGCATAATTAGGAGCTGTCGCGAAATGTTTAGATTCCGTATGTAGGTCGCTTGAAGACCTGCCAAAAGAAAGGGTAATAGATCATGAATTATAACACATATAATACATATTATTATACAAATCAACAAAGTGCAATTGCAAGGACGAACTTTTTTATCGAGGCAATTGATCTTAGTTCGTAAAAGAGTCAAATACTATAAAGCGGCAAGCAAATGATTTAAGCATAAATGTATATTTTGTCGGTGATAACTTATCACAGTAAACCTAAGAAATAATTAACCTTCACAAGTGATCGATTACACTGTGTAACAAATCATTTTTTTTGCATAATTGAATTATTACATATCTAATAGATTCACGTGAAAAGTTGAGCTACGTTAGGATTTTGGGAATTTTTGTTTAAGTGTAAGAACGTATTCGACCAATTAATTATGTTTTTTATGTTTTTTATAGCAGAAAAGTGCATCGCATCCTGTCGATAGTCAAAATGTTTTAGTCTAGAAAGAAAACAAACTTTGGCATTATATACATTTACCTTATAAGCAATATTTAAAAAAAAAACATAGAACTTTGAAATCAAGACTTCATTCGTCTTTAGATGAGGATCTTTAAATATAGCATAATGAAGCATTTAAGGGGCCAAAAAGTGATTTGCAGTGTGTAATTAGCTAAGCGTGGTATCCCTTAAGCCCAAATGGAAAATTATAGAAAAAATTGATTGATTAATAAATCACAAGCCCAATTTTTGGTTTTCCCCTTCTCAACAGGTACGAATAATCAACGTGTACTCTTTTGTTTTCTTTTTATATTATGTTGTTTTTCATTGTCTACCAACTGTAAGCTGTGCTATCATGTTTTTGAACCTATGCAAACAAGTATTTAGAAAAATCAGTTTTTTGTTGCTAGGCCCAAGCTCTTGAGAATTAATAATGTAACATATGTTCTTAGCTTACTGAAGATGACTGTGTGGACACCCACGCAGACTGTCTAAATGGCAGTTTGGAAGTTTGGAAGTTTGGCAGTTTGGCAGCACTTACTGTCGTGGTTCTTGTGATTGACAACGATCATCCGGCTGTGGCGCAGGCTGTTCCGGGTCGGCGTGTGTCGTCCGGCGATCTTCATGCCTTTCATGTTTTGCGGAACTGTGGTGCTCATGTAAACGGCCTTTTTGGGCAAGAGTTAGTGGTATCTGGTTGCAAATAAGCGACTGGCTCACCCACCTGCGATTGCGGAGTTTCCAGGTCGCCGAGGGGAATCTGCTCGTAGGTGGCCGCATAGCGCAGCGCCCTGCTCTGGCCAAGATCTCCGGAGGGAGCCGATGGGGGCGAGGGCTCTGGAGTCGCCACTGCCGGATGCTCGTCTCGCTGCGGCACATTCTGGTACTTTGGTTCCGCCACTTGGGCACCCCTGCTGACCGCCGGCGTCGGTGACTCATAGTTGTTGATCCCGAAGAACTTGGACTTGGCGTCATTCAGAGCCGCCTTCACAGCGGCGATGCTGTGGCTGGTGGCACCGCCACTGCCACCGCCACTGCCTCCGCCACTGGGATCCGGCTCCGCAAACTCCGGGTCACTCATTCCGGCGACCAAAAGAGTGCGCGGCTGGGAGACGCCCAAGTTGTCGTAGGTGCTCACGGGACGGACTGGCTGGACTGGCTGGACTGGTTGCACTGGCATGGCTGTTGCCTGGTGGCCTGGCTAGATGGACATGCTCGAGCTGCGAGAGGACCGGGCGAAGGCACCACTCCAGGTGCTACGGACATATTCTCCTCGGCCTCATGCGCTGAAATGCAAAAGAGGTCGAGTGAATTGACAATGAGAATCCGGGTGTTCCGTGCATTACAAGTGCACTGGTGCTTTGAATAACCAAATAGACGCTTAACAGTTGTGTTGTTCGAACTCAAAATCGACTTATAATTCTAGGTATAACAGATTTCAGCTTATAAGAATCCGAATATGTTAGTAGACCGATACTTAAAAAAAAGTTGTATTTTTTCTGAGCTAGGTATAGTAATCTTTGAAACCAATTCCGAGGAGCGAAAGACAAGTCAAGAAAAGGACCGGTGCGGAAACCTTTCTTTTAGATTACTCATTTATTCCGGTTTGATGTATTTTTCCGGTTTTTAAGTGGGTCGTTGGCATCATTGATGCTCCAACAGAGGGCGTCTGAGTTGCAGGGGAGCGCAGGGAAAAATAGTTATTCACAAATTCCATAGAGCGGCCAACTCCGCCGCTGGGTGAGATGATGTGTTGGACTTGTCAGGGCGATGGAATTTTTAAATTGTGGGTTCTGTCATGGGCCGCTGAACAGGCTTCCGTCCGGCGGTGTAAAGTAAACACTGGTATTTTGTATTCTAGCCGTTGTACAACCAAAGTCTCCGATTGCCAAACTCTTCGTTTGATCTATTTAGAGAGACGGCCTCGGGGGCACACAGACACACGGGCACACATTTTCGTCTCAAAACTTTACAACTTTTTATAAAATAGTAAAGAGCAAAGCAGCAAAGCGTACCAACCCGATGGCCACAAAAAACGAAAGTCGGATCGCTTCGATGGCGGGGAAAGCGGAGTGGACCGAAAAGAACGGAGAGCAGCAAAAGCGAAATCAAAACAAATTCGAATTGAACTGAACTGAACTGAATGAAAATATATCGGATTGGAGCCCGCCGCTGCCCACCGCAACTGTACGCACCAAGAGGCGAAAACAAACTAAAAATAATTCTCACTGGCCGCCGACGATCGAGCGCTTTAAGCGATCCGATCCATTCCCATTTATTCACGCTCTCGTAGGTCGCGCGAACGAAAAGCAGAAAGCAGCAAACTGAGAAACTCAAAAACCGCTCGCATATACCTGAATACCTGAGTATCTGAATACCTGAACACAGCGGTACGGCGATATGTTACATACACTAGTGCACCCGGTACTCGCGAGCACCCCGCTCTCACACACACACAACAACCCGGGCTCAGACCGTGAGTGCACTGAAAACAATGGGGAGTTCTGGCAAATTTAGCAAAATTGGTCTAACCATACCTTTAGGGCTATACCAGAGTAACGCTTTTTATACCCTTGCAGAGGGTATTATAATTTCAGTCAGAAGTTTGCAACGCAGTGAAGGAGACATCTCTGACCCTATAAAGTATATATATTCTTGATCAGCATCACTAGACGAGTCGATCTAGCCATGTCCGTCTGTCAGTCAGTCTGTCCGCCTGTCTGTCCGTTTCTACGGAAACTAGTCTCTCAGTTTTAAAGCTATCTGTATGAAACTTTCCCAAAAGTTGTCTTTCTATTGCAGGTAGCGGGTATAGCATATAGCTCGCATAGGAACAATCATAAAAATAAATAAAAAAAATTATAACTATGGAGTTTTTTAATTTTTTTTAATTCTTTGAGATATAGCAATGGTAAAATATTTCAGAATTACGGTTTAAATTTCATCAAAATCGGACGACTATAGCAAATAGCTCCCATAGGAACAATCGTATAGCTGCCATAGCAACTATCGAATAATTAAGCTGCATATCATCATAGCTTCATGTTTTTAAACATATGCGCAAGTAAATAATAATTTGAATGTTTTAAAGAACATTAAATTTTTGCAATAGCTGCAAGGGTATATAAACTTCGGCTTGCCGAAGTTTGCTTCCATTCTTGTTAATAATCAATTTTCTAAAGCGGCAAGGTCGTAATCTAAAAAGTTTTCGAATGCGGGTATACAACGCTGCACCTGAAACTTTAAACGCGATTTTCTCAAAACAAGATTTTTTGAAAAGTGCGGACATCATAGCTCAACGACAAATTAACCGATCGGTTTCAAATTTAAACTAAATGTTCTTAAATTACTACACTATCACCTACTTGTTGACGTTAGAAATTTTCAATTTGGTATTAAACAAGAAAGAAAGCAAACTTCGGCAAGCCGAAGTTCATATACCCTTGCTGCTATTGCAAGAATTTAACATTTTTGAAAACATTAAAATTATGATTTACTGCGTATATGTTTAAAAACATTGAAGCTATGATGATTAGCAACTCAATTATTTGATAGTTATTTTATATATTTTTATTATTTCTATGGGAGCTATATGATATAGACGTCCGATTTTGATAAAATCCAAACCATAATTCTGAAATATTTAACCATTGCTATATGTCGAAGAACTGAACAAAAAATTAAAAAACAAAAAAGTTATAATTTTTTCCATTTATTTTTCCGATTGTTCCTATGGGAGCTATATGCTATAGTCGTCCGATTTTGATATAATTTAAACCGTAAATCGGAAATATTTTACCATTACTAAATGTCGAAGGGCTAAACAAAAAATTAGAAAACAGAAAAGTTATAATTTTTTTCATTTATTTTTCCGATTGTTCCTATGGGAGCTATATGCTATAGTCGTCCGATTATGATGAAATTTAAACCGTAAATCAGAAATATTTAACCATTACTAAACGTCGAAGAACTAAACAAAAAATTAAAAAACAGCAAAGTTATAATTTTTTTTTATTTATTTTTCCGATTGTTCCTATGGGAGCTATATGCTATAGTCGTCCGATCCGGCTCGTTCCGACTTATATACTACCTGCAATAGAAAGTCAACTTTTGAGAAAGTTTCATGCAGATAGCTTTAAAACTGAGAGACTAGTTTGCATATAAACGGACGGACAGACGGACAGACTGACAGACGGACAGACGGACAGACGGACGGACAGACGGACGGACAGACGGACGGACAGACGGACATGGCTAGATCGACTCTACTAGTGATGCTGATCAAGTATATATATACTTTATAGGGTCGGAGATGTCTCCTTCACTGCGTTGCAAACTTCTGACTGAAATTATAATACCCTTTAAGCAAAATGACCAGAGTGCAGTGTTAACTATCCAAATAGCACGACACCATTGAATGTGGTTCTAAATTCAAAATGTTAATAATTCCGTAGCATATATATTTTTATAGTTCTTAAAATAAAAACTATTGTGAATACTTTTGCCTCAAAGAAAGTTCGAGTTTTTATACCCTTGCAGAGGGTTTTATAATTTCAGTCAGAAGTTTGCAACGCAGTGAAGGAGACATCTCCGACCCTATAAAGTATATATATTCTTGATCAGCATCACTAGGCGAGTCGATCTAGCCATGTCCATCTGTCCGTCCGTCTGTCCGTCCGTTTCTACGCAAACTAGTCTCTCAGTTTTAAAGCTATCTGCATGAAACCTTCCCAAAAGTTGTCTTTCTATTGCAGGTAGTATATAAGTCGGAACTAGCCGGATCGGTCGACTATAGCATATAGCTCCCAAAGGAACAATCGGAAAATAAATGAAAAAAAATTATAACTTTGCTGTTTTCTAATTTTTTGTTTAGTTCTTCGAGATTATTTCAGAATTATGGTTTAAATTTTATCAAAATCGGACCTCTATATCATATAGCTCCCATAGAAATAATAAAAATATATAAAATAACTATCAAATAATTGAGCTGCAAATCATCATAGTTTCAATGTTTTTCAACATATACGCAAGTATATAATAATTTTAATGTTTTCAAAAATGTTTAATTCTTGCAATAGTTGCAAGGGTATATGAACTTCGGTTTGCCGAAGTTTGTTTTCTTTCTTGTTTTTATCTGTATTAACATATTCCATTGTTGCTACAAATAAATAAATAAATAAATTTATAGATACTTCAATTAAAGAAAGTAAATTTACCTGATATATCACTTTATTTAAATGTGGCGTTGTATATTTGTCTCATTTAGTATATAGTAATACCTAATCTTATTATTTGCTCTTATTGTTTGTTCACTTTAAAGTGCAAAAGTGTCTGAATGACAACAAACAAGTTGGTAAGAACGTTATTCCCCTAACGTCTTTTTTAATAGGTGACTTGAGTTAGTTTATTTATTGACCTATTTGCTGTGTCTGAGCAGATAGTTTGAAATCCACCAAGCACATTAAAAATTTAATTTATAATTTTGTGCAGCCGCGATCTAAGCTATTAGTACAGATTGTCCAGTATTGTATAGCTCAAGCTCAGGTTAGTTAGACAACTGTTTCTGTTTTGCAGTCACTTTTTTTGGGCCTCGATTTCAAGACCGTGGAATTGGCTGTTAGTTGTCTTTGCATTTAGCAGTTAATTGAGTTATATCATCAGTAAAAATGTTAAATAATACTTGCCAACTGAAGCATTACGAAGTCGGTTCAAAAGACCATAACTGACGTCAGCTCGCAAAAGGGCTACTGTTTCGACGATAAAGACTAAAGATGACGACAAAGCTTGGCAACGGACCAATGCACTTTGCGAAGCATTGCGGAATAATAAAATGCCAATCATGCGCAGTGAGAAAAACTGAGAAGGAGCCATAAATAATTTGATGACAGCACCAATCTTAAAAGTACTCAAAAAGCCCGGCTTCCCACATAATGCTGCGTGTTCTTCATTTTACAAACCCAAATAGGTCGCCATCTGAGCAACGGACGGAACTTCGAACTGTTAGTTTCCGAACTGACCAGATTCGATGCGATTTTCATGTATTCTCGAAGTTTCGGAAGCTCAGTGGCCAAACATCAAACATCACCAGTCATTGCGGTACATGGACCTGGAATTAGGACAAGTATGGGAACGTAATCAGAGAGTCCGTTCATCACACCACTCTTTACACTCTTTACACTCTTAACACTCTTAACACTCATAACACTATTTGCCACAGTTGACGGCTGAGACCGCACGGTCATGCCAGTTATCAGAGTTGAACAGAACTCGGCTCCTATAGTATGTTTCCAGTTTTAGTACGGCTGTTATCGCCTTACGTCTTTCGTTAACTTGTACTTGGGATTGGCTACTTTATTGCGACCGAACTAGCCACAGACATTACAAAGAAAACATGGAGGAAATAGACGAGAAATGAAGTTATATTCGACAAGCGAAATACCCATACATCCTGCATTCATAGCAAATTTGAATTTTTCAATGCACCCATTTTGCCAGACCATTTTTATACCCTTGCAAAGGGTTTTATAATTTCAGTCAGACGTTTTCAACGCTGTGAACGATACATTTCCGATTACATTTATGTAAAGTATATATTTTCTTGATCAGCATCACTAGGAGAGTCGATCTAGACATGTCCGTCTGTCCGTCCCCTTCTGGTCTCTCAGCTTTAAACAAACGGGAAAAAAATATATAATATAACTTTACTGTTTTTAATGTTTATACCCTTGCAGAGGGTATTATAATTTCAGTCAGAAGTTTGCAACGCAGTGAAGGAGACATCTCCGACCCTATAAAGTATATATATTCTTGATCAGCATCACTAGGCGAGTCGATCTAGCCATGTCTGTCTGTCCGTCCGTTTCTGGTCTCTCAGTTTTAAACAAACGGGAAAAAATATATAATATAACTTTAGAATTATCCTTTTAATTTTATTCAAATCGGAAAAGAATATCATGTAGCTTCCATAGAAATCATCAAATACTTGGTGTGAAAATCGTCATAGCTTCAATGGGTTTTAATGGGTACTAATAAAGTTCAAAATTGAGATGTTTTAAAGCAGTTTTTTTATTTTTGCAATAACTGCAATGGTATATAAACTTTGGCTTGCCGAAGTTTGCTTCCTTTCTTGTTTTTTTGGGCATTTGCTAATAAAACATGAAGTTTGATATTAAAGCTTTCGAATGAAAACAAACCAAATATATAGAAAA